CTTTTCTAAGCCCTTTACTTCACACCAAAGAGCAAAACCCTCTCAAGGCTTTCTGCCTAGCTCTCTGGGAAAAACAGACATGGAGCTGAGCTATGGAGGTGAGTTGACCACATGATTTCAGGGATGAGGCCAGGGGAGGGTGCTCTATTCAGAATAAGAGCCAGAGCAAAAGGTAGCCTTGTCAGAACACAGTGGCAGAACACAGACCACAGCATCATCTGACAGTGTGTGGGGGGGTGTGGGGAGGACAGCTCAAAGTAGCTACCTACCTTGATTCTAAAATTACCCCTGACTTGAATAAGAATGAAGGAAATTCTAAAACTTACATATGAAGGAAAAATAAAAACCCAGACAAGCTGAACAGATGGCCCTTGTCAGCATGTAGTAGGAATTAGGCTTTTCTTTCTTTTTTTTGGGGGGGGGGGTCCTGTCATGGGGCCTGAACTCTGGGCCTGGACGCTGTCCCTCAGCTCTTCAGCTCAAGGCTAGCGCTCTACCACTTGAGCCACAGCGCCACTTCCGGCTTTTTTTCTTTTTGCTTATGTGGTGCTGAGGAATCGAACCCAGGGCCTCATGCATGCAAGGCAAGCGCTCTACCACTGAGCCACCTTCCCAGCCCTAGGCTTTTCTTATATGGACATTCTTTTTTTCTCTTTTCCCTCCCTCCCTCCCTCTCTCCTTCCCTTCTTTCCTCCCTCTCTCCCTTTCTTTTCTTTCCTCCTTTTTTTCTTGTCTTTCCTTTCCTTTCTTTCTTTTTCTCTTTCCTTCTTTCTTCCTTCTTTTCTTTCCTTTCTTTCTTCTTTCTTTCTTTCTCTTTCCTTCCTTCCTTTCTTTCTCTTTCCTTCCTTCCTTCCTTCTTTCTCTCTTCTTTCCTGTCTTTCTTTCCTTTTTTTCTTTCTTGCTTTCTTTCTTCCTTTTCTTCCCTTTCTTTCTTTCCTTTTTCTTTCTTCCTTCCTTTTTTCCTTCCTTCCTTCCTTCCTTCCCTCCCTCCCTCCCTCCCTCCCTTCCTTCCTTCCTTCCTTCCTTCCTTCCTTCCTTCCCTCCTTCCCTCCCTCCCTCCCTCTCCTCCCTCCCACCCTCCCCCCTCCCTCCCTCCCTCTTTTCTTTCTTTCCTTTCTTTCTTTCTTTCCTTCCTTCCTTCCTTCCTTCCTTCCTTCTCATCTAACTCAGGGCCTGGAACCTGTCCCTGAGTTTTTTTGTTTCATGGCTAACACTCCACCACTTCAGTTGCAGCTCTACTTCCAGCTTTTTGGTGGTTAATTGGAACTAAGGTTTTCCTGAATGTGCTGGGTTGGAACAGAGATCCTTTGTTTTCAGTCACCTGAGTAGCTAGGATTCCAAATGTGAATCACTGGGACCAGGACATCATGGTGATTTTAAATGATATCATTAACATTCATCAATTTAAAGTTTTAATTTTTGAGTTGCCTCTGGAAGGTGAGGAATATAAAGTATATGTGACAGTTATCAAGCCAAATGGCATACTGACAAGTTTAGTGATCTTCCGGAAAAACATAACAGGAAAACAAAAAGAGAAAAAGGTTACAACAATTTTCAATTTCCTTCAATTTCACATCTTAACAAGAATCATATAGGGGATTGGTGGGGGTAGGGGATAGCATGATTTTTAGGAATACCAAACAGTCAAGTAAAAGAATATAGGAATTAAATTTACTTCTACTGAAAAAGCTTCAGAGAGATAAAAATCCCTTCAGGCTATTTAATTAACTATGAGCCTTCACAAATGAGGCTGATCATAACCCACTCAGACTACCTTTCCTCTGTAAAAACAAACACAGGGCATAGCTTCACTCTGCAGATCAAGCAGAGAAAGAACCCCTGGAGTGCTTGATACAATCGTCTTGTAATTACAGGAAAACCCTTCCTCTGCACTTTTGTTTGTATTCTACAAACTCCTACAATATTAAAACTTTCAAGGTTAATTTTTCTTTTCTTTTTTTTAAAGGCATACTGGGGTTTTGAACTCAGAGCCTCAGGTATGGTAGGCAGACACTCTACCATTTGAACCACTCTGACAGTAGTCCCTTTGTGTTGGTTATTATTATTATTATCCATCATGGGCCTTGAACTCTGGGCCTGGGCACTGCCCCTGAGCTCTTCAGCTTAAGGTTAGTGTTCTACCACTTGAGCCACAGCACCACTTCCGTTTTTCTGGTGGTTAATTGGAGATAAGAGTCTCAGGGACTTTCCTGCTGGGCTGGCTTTGAACTGCGATCCTCAGATCTCAGCCTCCCGAATAGCTGGGATTGCAGGTGCCTGGCTTGGTTATTATTATTATTTATTTTTTGCTGTTCTAGGGGTTGAACTCTGGGCCTGCGTGCTATTCCTGATCTCCTTTTGATAAAGGCTAGAAATCTACCACCTGAGCCACAGTGCCACTTTTGGCTTTTTCTGTGATTAAATGGAGATAAGAGTCCCATGAATTTTCCTGCTTATGTTGGCTTTGAACTGAAATCCTTAGCTAGGATTACAGGTGTGAGCCACCAGTGCCCAACTTGTGTTGGTTATTTTAAGACAGGACTCAGTTTATGCTCAAAGCAAGCCTGGACTATGATCTTATTTGCTGCCCCAATTGCAGATGTGTACTACTTTTTCCAGCCAAATATTGAGGAGTTTCCTGAACTGTTGGTTTGGGTTTGAGCTTTGATCTCATCTCTCCCTTCAAGTAGCTAGAATTATAGGTTTGAGCCACCATATTGAGCCCAAGGTTAAATTTTGTTTACATTTATTTTTATCATTTTGGTGCTGGAGATTGAACTCAAGGCTTCACCGAGCTTTGCCTCTAGCTCCAAGGTTAATTTTGAATCAGCTAATTTTGAAGCCAAGCGTTTAAATCGGGATCTCCTCTTTCCTATACTTTCTCATTTTTCTGCATTGCATTGTTTTATTAATGAAAGGAGATAGAACTGAGCATAGAGATGGTTTGTTGTTTAAAATATCAAGGACAGGCTGAATGTCAGTGGCTCACACCTATAATCCTAGCCACTCAGGAGGTTGAGATCTGAGGATTGAGGTTTGAAGCCAGCCTGAGCAGGAAAGCCCATGAGAATCTTATCTCCAATTAACCACCAGAAAATTGGAAGTGGAGCTGTGGCTCAAATGGTAGACATCTGGCACTGAGCAAAAACCAAGCTCAGGGACAGTGCCTAGGCCCTGCGTTCAAGCCTCATGACTGACAAAAATAAAAATCAAGGACAATTTGTTAACATTCCAAATACGCATGGAGGTCTTGAACTGCAAAGAACACACAATAGCTTCAGAGGGTGCTGGAAAACCTCCCAGACGCCAGCAGTTACAAAAGGAAAATGGCTGGGGTGGGAATGTTTCCTGTCACCACCGTCAGCCTTTTCAGACAATTTATTTTGGAAACTAGATTTACACAGGAAATGAGTAGAAATGGAAAAAATTAAACAGATTTTCTTATTTTTGGTTCTCAATAGCAAAAAATATATATAAGCAAAACTCTTCATGGAAGAATTTTCCTTTTTATAAATTTGACAAAGTCATTAAAGATCCCAATTTGAGCCAATGATTAAATTCTTTAGCACATCGAAAAGCTTGTTTATAAATATTAACACTTAACGTTGTTCAATCTTTTGTCTGATCAGTGGCTTCTAAACTCTCATTTGAAGAATACTTACTAATAACTTACATAGTATATATCCGTCTACATCTAAAGAAATTTCATCAAAGAAGCTTTATATCCCATAGTGCATGTTGGTACTTTCTGGCCAATTCTCTTCTCTTTCATTTCATTCTATTCCAAAATGCTAGTAAACACGCTCAATTACTTTCCTCACAAACTGAAATTTTGCCAGATTCTGGCACATAATTGAAAACACTGAAATGATGACAACAGACTAGCAGATGGTATTATTGTTTTTACCCTGTGGACTAATCAATGGTAAGAAAAATAAAACAACACCAAACAATCTCTATATTATAGCACAGTATGATTTTTAAATTTACTATTATTAAAATTATCAGATAGCCCTTTGCAAATTACTGGCCAAATCTTTTGAAACAACATCTAGCCTTGGACATGTCTGTAATATCCAACAGAGCTTAGTGAAGGCTAGACAGCATACTTAACTCAGTTAAAATGTTGCAGCCTATGAAAAAATTGATGTAGGATGGCTGAGATTCCTAGCTGCAATTAAACAGAGAAAACCAGAAGTGCAGATTTAATACCAATTACCCCCTACAGGATATTTATGTACTTCTGACTTGTCAAAGCATACTGCAAGAAGCACTTGTCTTCTCCTGTAACTCTGTCAGTTACAATCATTTCCATCGGAAGTTCTCCTTGGTTCTTTTCTAATCTGTTTAATAGTTTCTTGTTTATTACTCCACTTCCTTACATGGACTACTTAGGAGTATGGGTAATGTCAATACGTCCTTGTGACTATTCTTCTAGTACTTCTATTGGCAGGCCGCCCTGCTGTTGTGTTCACTCTGCTGTTGTGGGTGCAGATCTGAGTTGAAGGTGCTGTCTGTTTCTACAGGTGTCCACAAATTCTCCCAACTTGAAACAATTTGAAACTAAAACTTGGATTAAAAAACAAAACAAAACAAACATCACCCATATGGGAAAGAATTTGAGTTGAAATACAAGTAATTTTGGGGTACAAATTATGTGTCTGTATGTATACAAATGTATGTGTGTATACACACAGGATAGAACAACTTTTATATACAGGTATGTGATTCCTTACCCAGAACTGATTCCGTATCTTGGCTTCTGGGACCTTGAAATTGGGAAAGCTTGTTTTTTCCTTAACATCGAGGTTAGTCTAGTTATAATTCCCATTCATTAATTTACTCTAGACTACAGATATTCCTTACTTTCTTCTGAGCTCATTCAAGAAGCATTTTGCAATCCAATTTTGAGTAGTTTTCAACAGGTTACATAGCCTTGTATAGGTTTCTAATTTTAACTTTTCTTGCTGAAATGACTTGAAATAAAACATGTACAAGAGTCTCTGTAATTCAGACTTTATTGCTTATTAATTTTGTCATTCTACACAAGTGAGAAAATATACTGGGAGTGTTGGCTAGTCATGATAGATTGATGACAACATTCAAGTGTTTTATGATAGATAACAAGAGGCCCCCACGACACCATCACCCCAGAAATTTGTATATTTCATATAAAAAGAGTAAAAATAGTTCATTGGCATTTAACTAGCATTTTTTTTTGTAATCTATGAACCACAACATACCTTGATGAGTGTCAGAATTTCCAGAGTAGAACAAAATGTGTTTTTTTTTTCCATTACCAAATATTTTTTCAAGAAAACATGATCAAACAAATCAACCTAACACCAAAAATTACATATACAGAATCTTGAAAATACAAGTTGGCATATTGTAGTGGTCCTCAATTTTAACATTAATTCCAGACACAAAATGTGATTCAGCTTTTGAAAATGACATTAAATTCCTTAACTGCAATTACATTTACTTTATAATTCGGACAATTTAATGAAGCCAAGATTAACTGTGTTAAAAACCATGGACATATCTCCAACTGCTCTATCTATGCTAAGGTAACTTCTTTAAAAGTATTCTTTAAAACCTCAGATAACAACTATAGAAATATAACTTGATGTACAAACAACCTACCCTTCCAAATCCACAGCAGTAGTTCTAAGAGTTCTTAAAGCTAGGAGCACATACAAAGTCACTGTGTAAATCACACGCAAGTATCAACAACTTTCCCTACTAAAACTATACCCTTCTCTCTACTGATAATTGTTGAAAGTCAAGCATGTGTAACAGTTCGGCATTTCAAGAGTTCTATATATAGTATGAAGATGTAGAGATTGAGAAATACATCTGGATGTTAAAAAGACACTACAAAAAAGAACATCCCAGGACTTGAAATATGGTTTTATGTTAAACTCATTTAAAGACCTATTATCCAACAACTAAAAACGCAATAACAGATAAATAGGAATTTATTAAAACCACTGTCTTCTACAATACAAAAATTAAATATTAAGGCATCCTTTTTTTCCCTATCCTGATATTTGCAGCAAAGAGAAATGTTTTAAATAAGAGCTAACAAATGTCTTTCTAAAGTATTTGGCAGATTTGTTTTAATATTCTCTGACCACATGATCAAACACCCTGGTCCAAATAACAAGGGTATAAATAGGTTATCAATTTATTAAAGGGAGGCAGTTCACTCACTGATGAAAAATTTTTTAAAAAAAGGAACTACAAAGAGTATCATATAAAGTTCAAACACTGGGATTTGAATTTCTCGGCAGCAATTTACACCTCAGTAACTAGGCAAAAGAAGGGAGGAGGACTTTAACATGAGAGAAGCCTATAATATGGTCATGCTATGGATCAAGTGGTGACTCAGTCAATATTTGGCTCTACAACCTGAAAACGGCTTCATATTCCTTTAAAAATGATCACATCCACTGTAGTAAGAGCATACAAATAAATACTGTTAGTATACCCATACCTGTCCATTCACAAAGCTCAGAGGGCTTCATCAAATATACAATGTTAACAATTTCACCTTTTATTAAGGCAAGTTTGAGAAAATAATTTAATACAACCAGATCTCTCCATGAACTTTCTACTTACAATATTTTTAAGAAACATACAAAAACCTGTATTATATAAAAAAGCCACCTCAATATCAGAAAATAGTAATGAAAGGTGTTGAGCCCATTTTACTTTTTAAAGGACGCTTTCCTTTTCTTTAGGTCCAAATGCTATTCATCATCTTTAGAGCCGGTTTTGCTTAACTATAAGAGAAAAAGACATAAGAAACATTCAACAAGTGTAAGTGATCATGGTATTTGAGTCATTATTTCCACTCAGAACCAAAACTAAACAAACAACAGAAAATAAGTTTCAAGCAATGTGAAATTTAAATTATTTATAGCTTCTTTACCAAGCTAATTACCTTTCAACATTAAGCTTAGCTACTTCAAAAAGATTTGAAATACGACCTGAGCAAAAGTACAACCTCAACAGAAATAAGTTATAACCAAGATTATAAAAGCAGAAAGTGCTATTTGTAAAATGAATGACATTCTACTTTTACTTCCTATCACAGACAATACATTGTGTATGTGTGTGTGTGTGTGTGTGTGTGTTTTGCTGGGGACTAAAACTAGGACTTTGTAATGGATTAGGCAAGAAAGTGTTCTACCACTGAGTTATCCTCCCCCGCAACAGACAACAAATGTATAATGAAAAGTAATATTAAAAGTATAATTTTGCAAATATGATTAAAAAATCTTAAATTGTAATTTTTCTGGATAAAAATCTGGGCAGGCTTGGCAAAGTTTGAGGCGAGGCACAGAGATACAGGCAATACAGAGATGATAATCCTGATGAGAAGAACCATCGGGTCCTTGAGCAGCACTCTGTACCTCCTGAGAATGGGGGATGCTGGGAAAAGCAGGAAGTCCTCAGGGTAGTAATGTTCTCAAACATTTTGGACTTCTTCATATTTTCAAACTAAGGATCCTAAATCAGAGTCATATTTAGTGTATTGAAATTTAAAACTGAAAAGCCTCAAATAGATGATAAATGGTAATAGAAAAAAAGCACTACATTTTCTAAAACAGGCAAAATGTAATATGAAGTGGTGCTGGTTTTCCATTCCTGTGAATCTCTTTCTATAGAAAGCAGGTATTGTGGCTGACAGCATGGAGGGAGTAGTAGGAACAACCTGAGGTGCTAATGTACCCCTTTTGCCACTTTAGGACACTGCGAGAAACAGAACACACAGTCTGCATGCTTTTAGCTTTAACAGAGTGCTAGTGGCAAGGCCTCACTTCTTGCAGCCATTGGGAGCGGCTCCAAAATGTGACTGTATGCTCAAGAGAAAATGGCAAACACGCAAGCAACATCTTAGAATTAGGATGCAAAGAGTTTTGGCCTGGTACACCTGGCACCCAGAAGTCTTATGAGATTTCCTAGGCATCCAAACACAATTGCAAAATATTGGCTTAGGATGTGTGATTCTGGGAATGAACGGTGTGTAGGTGACTGCTTTAAGAACAAAGGCCTGAGTGTACCTCAGTGATAGAGTGTGTGTTCTAGGTCTGATCCCTATCACGAAGGGAAAAAAAAAGTTTTCCTGTCTCCCAAGATTGCTGACTTTGGCTTTTTTTTTTTTTTTTTTCCGATTTCAACTTGGAATTGTATGTGTGTTGCTAAGGATTCCTTTAAGAACAAACAATTTCTCCAGTTGGGAAAGGAGCACCGTTTTTATTCCCTCTGCACCAACCAGAGGATTTCTGTACGCACTTTCAGCCGAGATCTGCTGTACTAGAAATGCAGCATTCTGGCTGGGACAGGCACTCACTGGGAGAGAATGGACTTAGCTGATGAGCGACCTGTGACAGAGCGAAGATAACTTGAAGTATCCAGCAAACCTATGAGAGACTGCAACTGAAGGTTCATCAATGCAAACATTTCTTCCCAAGAATGGGAGAACAGAAACCATGCTCCTTTATTCTGATTACATTTTGAGGCTCCCTACTCCGAGGTAATATTCTTACACTACATTATATGTTATAAAGGTTATTTTAATATTTTCATAGAAAATGTATGGATTTGAAAATAAATTTTAGGGCTGAGGGCATGACTTAGTGGCAAAGTATTTGCCTAATAAGAGCAGAGTCCTGAGTTCAAGTCCTAGTATTGACAAACAGCTTTAAAAATAAATTAGGAGGGGGGACCAAGATGGCGTCGGGGCAGTAGGGAAACGCCACAGCTCTCTCCAACCAAAAAGAGAGTTCGAGTTCCAACGTTTAATCTCCCCAAGAGACCGACAACAACAAAAAGACGAACACTCAGAGAAAAACCAGAGGTGGAAAATAACAAAAAAAGAAAGAGAGGAAAAGAAGAATTTCAGAACAGAGAAGAGCGAAGACCCCTCCCCCAACCTTTACTGGCCGCGCGGCAGTGCGCCAAGCCGCCGGCCAGCCGGCCCGGCGGGGGCTGCCGGAGCCACAGAGACACAGGGGGCTGCTTGCAGATCACCAGGTACCGGATTGCAGAACAGCGGATCGATCGCCAGGAACAGAGAAACCTACCAGCTGGGAGTCTCCAGGAGGATCCCACCCCACCCATCACTCTCCACCGGAGCAGAGAGGCTCCATCCCGCCAAAGCCGCCCGGCACCAGCAGCGCGACAAAGGGACCTGTCGGCAGACCACCCGCCCAATCGCGATCGCAACTACCCGGTGGGGGGCCGCCCAACCCAGCCCGCAACCACCCCAACTGAACTCGGACTGCAACAACAACTGACGACCTACAGGGTGAGTACCCAACAGGGGAGAGTGAATCCCTCAAGGGAGACCAGAGCTGGAGGGAATCCCCAGACCCTGACCTAGACTCCCTACCCCAACACCCGGACCACAGGACCCACTAAAACTGGGAACTGTTCGAGAGCTCCACCAGCCGGTGGAGCACACTCTGCTGGCCAGGCCAGAGCAAGAGCGCCCCTGGAAGGGAGCTTAAATGCCCAAGCCAGGAACAGCGCCCCTGGGTCAAGACTACCAACAGTAGAAGAAATTTGAACTGTGTCCTCCAGGCTGCATAACCTAGGTGGTATACACATTAGCACAGGCCTAACGAGCGCGCTCCAGGCTGGGGCCGGAACCAGGCCCGGGGACCGGCGCCTGAACAAAGCAAAAAGGGTCAGAAGTGGGGCTGTGGCTCAAATGGTAGGGTGCCAGCCTTGAGCTGAAGAGCTGAGGGACAGCACCCAAACCTAGAGTTCAAGCCCACAACCAGCCCAAAACAAACAAACAAAAACACATCAGGAGCCCATAGCAGACTCCAGTATTTGGGAGAGTGCATCCAGAGCATCTGATCTTCCCAAGAGCACCCGCAGGAGCAAACACAAGCAGTCTAGGCTGCTCAACCCTTCCAAGGCGGGAATTGCTACAGCAGAGAGCTGAGAATCCTAAGTAAGTCAGAATAGCAGCTGGAAATAGGCTCCCAACAGAATCCAGGTCAGGCACAGACTCTCTCTACCAATACAGAATCAGCAACCAAGCAAAGACAGACACACCAAAACAAGATTGAAGAGCAGTCTCCTGAACCCCCATGCGAAAATCACAGAGAAAAATCACAAGGTTTACCACTACCCAGGACAGCAAGCTCACCTCAAAAGCCAGCAGCCACGCAGGGGAGAGCCCCAGTGGGAGCAAAGCAGGAATGGAAGACAAAAACTACATCCAAGGGTTGCTGGAGGCAATGACTCAAGAAATAAAGCGAGAAATGGATCAGAAATTGAAAGAGCACAAGGATGAACTATCAAAAGATATACAGGACATTAAACAAAAGTTGGATGCAAAAATAGAAGCTGCACAAACCTCAGTAAGAAGTGAGATAAACGCCAAATTAGAGGTAATACATACTGATCTCACCTCATTGAGAGGTGAGATCAGTACTCTGAGAACCAGCATTGAATCCATAAAGGGATCCATTTCCACCATGCAAACCACAATAGAAGCCACGGTCAACAGAGTGAATGAAATGGAAGGTAGAGTGTCAGATACAGAAGACAGAATACACCAACTGGACCAAAAAGTGACAGATATGGAAAAATCACTCAAATTAAACCAAAGGGAAATTCAAGAGCAAGCAGATAATGCTAAAAAATTTAACCTTCGCATAATCGGAGTGGACGAAGGTGAGGAATTCCAGAGCAAGGGAATGCAACACCTATTTAACAAGATAGTCAATGAAAATTTTCCCCACCTCAAAAACGACCATCTTAACTACATCACAAAAGCTTATCGAACACCCAACAAGCAAGATCCCAGGAGAAACACTTCTAGGCACATTATAGTAAAAATGATGGATCTGAATAATAAGGAAACAATCCTGCATGCAGCAAAAATGAAGAAGGAGCTATACTACAACGGGAAAAAAATTAGAATCACTGCAGATCTCTCCACACAAACAATGAATGCAAGAAAAGCCTGGGAAAGCACCATACGAGCCCTGAGAGCCAATAACTGCCAACCCAGACTGATATACCCGGCAAAGCTAGCATTCACATTCGATGGAGAACTGAAAACTTTTAATAGCAAAGAAAAACTAAATGAATACATAAACATTAAGCCAGCATTACAAAGAATTCTAAGAGGGGGGACACAACCTGAAGAAAGCAACCAGGAACTGGGACCTGCCCCAAACAGGCATTACTCAAAGTCTAACTGAGCAAGCACAGGAGGAAAGGAAAGAAGAAAAACTTAGGAAAACGGAATGGCAGGGACAACAATGCATCTCTCTATACTTTCTCTTAATATAAATGGGCTGAATTCGCCAATTAAAAGAAAACGAACTGAGGACTGGATCAGAAAACAAGACCCATCCATCTGTTGCCTTCAGGAGACCCACCTCTCAGCCAAACATACAAACAAACTCAGAGTGAAGGGGTGGAAAAGGATCTACCAATCAAATTCCCCCAATAAGAAAGCAGGTGTAGCTATCCTGATATCTGACAAAATAAACTTTTCATTAAAATCAGTACAGAAGACAAGGACGGACAGTACATATTAATAAAGGGAACAATCCAAGAGGAGGATATAACCATCATCAACTTATATGCCCCAAATATCGGTGCACCCAGATATGTTAAACAAATGCTCTCAAACTTACAGAATAAAATAGATCCCAATACGATAATACTAGGAGACTTTTAACACGCCACTCTCACCAAAGGACAGGTCTACCAACCAGAGGATTGGCAAAGAAGCTACCGAATTAAGTGAGGCCATACTTCAAGCGGAATTAACTGACATCTACCGAGTATTTCACCCTAAAACAACACAGTACACATTCTTCTCAGCAGCTCATGGAACTTTCTCCAAAATAGACCATATCATAGTTCATGCAAGGAACTTAAGCAAATACAAAGGGATCGACATAATCCCCTGTATCCTATCTGACCACAGTGGAATCAAGCTAGCTCTCAATAACAAAGCATACCGCAGAAATTTCTCTAATACATGGAAATTGAACAGCACACTCCTTAACAAGGCCTGGGTAACAGAAGAGATCAGAGAAGAAATAAAGCATTTCCTAGAACTCAATGAAAATGAAAACACCTCACAAAGAAACTTGTGGGACACAGCAAAAGCAGTCCTGAGGGGCAAATTTATTGCCCTCAGTGCCCACATCAAGAGAATGGAGACAGACCAAGTAAATAATCTCATGTTGCAACTAAAACAGCTAGAAAAACAAGAAAAAATGGGACCTAAAGCTACTAGACGAAGCCAGATAACCAAATTGAGAGCAGAGATTAACCAATTAGAAAATCAGAAAACCATAACCAAAATAAACCAAACAAAAAGCTGGTTCTTTGAAAAAATAAACAAAATTGATGGCCCGTTGGCAAGATTAATTAAAAAAAGAAGAGAGGAAACCCATATTAATAGGATTAGGGATGCCACGGGAAACATCACAACACGTACCCAAGATATCCAAACAATTCTAACAGACTACTTTCAAAAGCTATACTCTCTAAAGGAAGAAAATCTGGCGGAAATGGATGCATTTTTAGAGAAATACAAGTTACCCAAACTGAGCAAAGAAGAAGTTAACCAATTAAATAAGCCAATATCCTATAATGAGATACAGGAAGCTATCAAAAGTCTTCCAACAAAAAAAAAGCCCAGGACCAGATGGATTCACAGCAGAATTCTATAAGACCTTTAAAGAAGAACTAATACCCATACTCCTCAAGCTCTTCAGAGAAACAGAGAAGGAGGGAGCTATCCCAAACTCATTCTACGAAGCCAATATCACACTCATCCCCAAACCAGGCAAAGACCCAACCAAAAAGGAGAATTACAGGCCAATCTCCTTGATGAACACAGATGCAAAGATCCTTAATAAGATTCTAGCTAACAGAATCCAGAAACACATTAAAAAAATAATACACTATGATCAGGTAGGCTTCATCCCAGAGACACAGGGATGGTTTAACATACGTAAGTCAATAAATGTAATCCAGCATATCAACAGAGCCAAGGTCAAGAATCACATGATTATCGCCACAGATGCAGAAAAGGCCTTTGATAAAATTCAACATTCATTCATGCTAAAAGCTCTGGAGAAAATAGGAATAGAAGGAACATTTCTAAAAACAATAAAAGCCATTTATGACAGACCAATAGCCAATATTATACTTAATGGGGAAAAGCTACAACCAATCCTCCTAAAAACAGGAACAAGGCAAGGATGTCCACTGTCTCCACTCCTCTTCAACATAGTCCTAGAACCCTTAGCCAGGGCAATAAGGCAAGAAAAAGACATTAAAGGGATCCGCATAGGGAAAGAAGAAGTGAAACTATCCCTTTTTGCAGACGACATGATACTATACCTCCACGATCCCAAAAACTCCATCCCCAAACTTTTAGAAATCATAAGTCACTTCGGCAAAATAGCAGGATACAAAATAAACCCACAAAAATCAGTTGCCTTCCTATACACTGATAACGCACAGGAAGAGAGGGAAATAAAGGGAGCAACCCCATTCACAATAACCTCCCAAAAAATAAAATATTTAGGAATTAACCTAACCAAAGATGTAAAAGAACTATTTAATGAGAACTATAAAAAGTTAAAGAAAGAAATTGCAGAAGACACTAGGAAATGGAAAGACCTCCCATGCTCCTGGATAGGCCGACTTAATATAGTAAAGATGGTGATACTTCCAAAACTAATATACAAATTCAATGCAATTCCTATTAAAATCCCAATGACGTACATCACTGAAATACAGAAAACAGTCCAAAAATTTATATGGAACAACAAAAGACCTAGAATAGCCAAAACAATTCTAGGGGATAAAGACAATATGGGAGGGCTATCCATGCCGAACTTCAAACTCTACTACAGAGCTATAATCACAAAGACAGCATGGTACTGGCACAAAAACAGACCCGAAGACCAATGGAACAGAATAGAAGATCCAGATATAAATCCACAGGCCTACAGCCAGCTGATATTCGACAAAGGAGCCAAAGACATACAATGGAAGAAACACAGCCTCTTCAACCGCTGGTGCTGGGAAAACTGGGCAGCCACATGCAGAAAACTAAAAGTGGACCCCAGCCTATCACCATGCACCAACATCAACTCAAAATGGATTAAAGACCTTAACATTAAACCCGAATCTCTGAAACTACTACAGGATAGAGTAGGAGAGACACTTGAACTAATAGGCACAGGAAGGAACTTCCTGAACAGAGTCCCAGGGTCACAACAAGTTGGAGAGAGACTCGACAAATGGGACTACCTTAAAATAAAAAGCTTCTGCACAGCTAAATCTATCGCAACTAAGCTAGAAAGACAACCAACTAATTGGGAAAAAATATTTACCAGCAATATATCAGACAAGGGGTTAACATCCTGTATATACAGGGAACTCAAGAAACTAATCCCTCCCAAACCTAACCAATTACTAAATGGGCAAGGGAACTAAAGAGGGACTTCTCAAATGAAGAAATAAAAATGGCAAAGAAACACATGAGGAAATGTTCATCATCCCTGGTGGTGAAGGAAATGCAAATAAAGACAACCCTGAGATACCACCTTACCCCACAATGTCCCACATCCACAAATCAGCCAACGACAAATGCTGGAGGGGATGTGGAGAAAGAGGAACCCTATTACACTGCTGGTGGGAATGTACACTTATACAACCACTTTGGAAAGCAGTCTGGAGGGTCCTTAGAAAGCTAAAGATTGACCTTCCTTACGACCCAGTCATACCACTTCTAGGCATCTACCCTGAACAACAGGAACCAATATACAAGGACACGTGCACCTCCATGTTTATTGCAGCACTGTTCGCAATAGCTAGGATATGGAAACAACCTAGGTGCCCCACCACAGATGAATGGATCCAAAAATTGTGGTATCTATACACAATGGAATATTATGCAGCCATTAGAAATGACAAAATAATGGCATTTGCAGGGAAATGGATGGAGCTAGAAGGAATCATGTTGAGCGAGGTAAGCCAAGAACGAAGAGACAAACGGTACATGGTCTCCCTGATAAGTGGATGCTAAATCCAAAAGGTTAGGTGATACGACAAAACTAACAGGACTTAAGAAACAAAGAACTCCCGCTCATCTGGTTGAACCACTACTAAATATCCCCATGCTGCTGATCACAAATATGGTATATAACATGTGAACACTGTTATATATTACAGACTGTGGTAGACAATTTGCTCCAGGGAAGTTAGAATGAACTTGTGACTTTGAAATTATGTAATCATTTAATCACAATCAAAAAAAAAAAAAAAAAAGAACCTCGGGGAAGGGAGGGAGGGAGGGAGGGGATGGTAGGGGGAAAACAATGGAGGGGGTAACAATGTTCAAGAGGAAGTGTACTCAGTACCTCACTCATGTAACTGTAACCCTCTGTATAGTAGCTTTACAATAAAAAAAAAAAAAAGAAAAAAAGAAAAAAAAAAAATTAGTCCTGCCAGGTGCTGGTGGCTCACACCTATAATCCTAGCTACTCAGGAGGTTGAGATCTGAAGATCGTGGTTAGAAGCCAAACTGAGCAGCAAAGTCTGTGAGACTCCACTAAACTACCAAAAAAGCCAGACATGGAGCTGTGGCTCAACTGATAAGAGTACTAGCCTTGAGCAAAAAGAAGGTTGGGAACAGCAACCAGGCCCTGAGTTCAAGTCCCAGGACCAGAACACACACAAAAATATGCTAGTCCTAAATTACCCATATAGTGGTTCTCACTAAAATGCTAATCTTTATTCTTTGGTCATATTAAATACTTCTAATAGCAGCGTAGCACATACCACATGCAAAACTTATTTCATGAAGTCCCATAAACAGAATGAACTTAGTGTATTATGTATCAGTTTAGCATAGTTGAAACTACCAAGAGTTTAAGTAAATTTTAAGAATGCTTGCTAGAAAAATTAAAATGAAAAGTAAACCATTTTAAACAATAAAATCAGAATTTTTCTTCTTGCAATGATAGGCAACAGTTAAGAGAACATTATGACTGATTTCTACTTAAAAAATCTAAAGCTTTCCTTTCCATTATTGGTCTTACTTAATTTCCATATTATCTAGAATTTGTCACATTTAACCATGTCCATGCAAGAAACAGTCAGGCTTTATTTTAAATACTACTTACACCTATAGAAGTTTCACTTACTTAAGAAAACTCTAAATTTAAGGGTGTTGGGAAGCAAAGAATGTGAAGAGTATTTTTAAAATACTTACATGCTGAATGTAAAAAAGTAAACAGACATCCAGGGAATTCCACAGATTGCAGGGAAGAAAACAGAACATACAAATTCATTACTTGATGGCAATGATTATTATAAAAATTGATGACTAAAATGTAAATGTTCTATACCTTCACGACATCAACCCAGTTCCAGCCTCGAGGAAGTTCCCCTTTGTGATCTGGAGGATAAAAAAGAACAAATGTATTTCTAAGACTGGTCAGCTAGTCTTAATATTCTAAAATCTTATATATACTTATATATAACAAATACAGAGTCAACAAATATATCATTTATTTGGAAAAATACTTTATCACCTTGTGAATTAGTAACATTGTTCTACAAAGTGTTTGAGGTACACCCCTATTATGTTTACTCTAGTTCTACTCAAGAACTAAAAGATGTTATAGTGGGCTGGGGTCATTTTAGTTTCATGCATTTGCCAATTCTGCCTTCTATCAGGTCACTGCTAATTTAAAAGGAGAAGCTGTGTGAGTTCCCTGTTTCAAGGGTTAGCACCTTCCCTCCAAGAAGCTAGACTTAACACAGAAGGCCTCATAAACAAATGTTCAGCTTCAAACCTAAGAAGAGTCTTAATTTTCTGAGTACTGATAAAATATTCACTTCTTAATCTAATATTTTTCAAACCAGTTTTCCTTTATTGAGAATGATTGAAAATAAACTAAGAACTTATAGTTTACAAAGTGCTTTCCTTCTTTTAATAAAATATTCAAAAATAAACAACAGATTGGGTATCGGCGGTTCATGCCTATAATCCTAGCTGCTGATGAGGCTAAGATCTAGAGACTGTGGTTTAGAGCTGGTGGGGGAGAAAAGTTGAAGAGACTCATTTCCAAAAAAGCAAAGGAAAAGCAGGGCAGAAGGCTTGGCTCTAGTTTGCACAAGCCAAGTAAGCAATCTGAGAAAGCACACGGCCCTGATCAAACCTTGGTACTGGCAAAAAAGAATAGTTTAACAAATGCTACTTTCAATTCAAATTCAATTCAAATGGCTCAATGCTCCTTATACTCCATACATGCTGTGTTATTTTTCACATTCAAAACAAGTACCTTACATAGACTGGATACCTCTAATCCCAAACTCCTAAATCCAAAATAATCTAAAATTAGATTTCTAGAAGGATGCTCAGCTGATAAGTGTGCAAATACACCATCATCTGAAGAACTCTGAAATCTGAACATTTCTAATCTGAAGAATTTTAGATGAGGGATATTTAACCTGTGTTAATTTTATAGCAAAGGGAATACTGAAACTAGTCTTAATATTCTAAAATCTTATATATACTTATATATAACAAATACAGAGTCAACAAATATATCATTTATTTGGAAAAATAGTTTATCACCTTGTGAATTAGCAGCATTGTTCTCTCCTATGGGAGAGAAGAATATTTCTGGAGCTAAACCTGAGATGCTAATGGTTCTTCTCCAAAAAGAATCCTCTACCAGTTATGAGGAGCACGGTGGTGGGGCACCAACTTGGGTTAACTGTAACACCCACAGTACTATTGGCTGTCATGTTAAAAGTTTTATCTAGAAGGAAAGCTTCCAGTCATTTTAGGAAGACAATGACTTTAGATATGTGGACATCATCAAAGAGATGAAGGTCAAGAGATATAAATTATGGGAAATGATCATAGATAATTATACACGACACCAACAGGTAACTGACATGCTAAAATATTATAGAGAATAATCAAAATTCTAAACACTGGACTGCGCTGGCTAACAAGTTATTCTTTCATTGTTTATATATTAATGATGCTTTGACAGGTGGTGGTATTAGATTCCAAGGTGTTTATCTTACAAACCATAATAACTAAAAAAGTATAGTTTTGGGGCTAACACTGGGTTGCTTGCTTTTATTGTGTCAAAGACAAACATTAAATAAAATATAAACCACCAACCCTAATATCCATTTATGAGAGAAATGGCATTTAAAAATCCCTTCATCAAAATAAATGAGTCAGTTCTCAGTGACGGACAGTTTATAACCTTATACCAATAGCACACAGACACACATTTAAGTATAAATGTGATTGTGTAAAAATGATAATGTCCTCACTTTCCCTGATTGGGGAAAAATTATAGATTGATACCAATGTGAAAATCTCCAATTACATAGAAAGGATCAAATACTATTGCTGATATGAACTAGAGTTTAATCTTTTCCAAAAGGAATATAGGTTAGGGAATTCTATTCTTGGGTCTTAATGTTGTATACATGAGTTAACTACAGGCAGAAATATTCAATTCTGGTGTACCAGACTTCACTTCAAATGAAAATGGTATTTACCCAGTTGTTAATACAGATACCTGACACAGAGATAAACAAATAAGGAAATCCCAAATATGGTAGGTAGAAGACACAGTAATACGCGTTTTTGTATCCTGTCCTACTGGTCCTCAATCTCCAAATTCATTTCTAGTTACTGAGCCTCTCAGTTACCTTCTCTTCAAATGCTCATGTCCTGTAATGAGTTAGTAATAAATACTTGCAATATTTCTACACCATGACCCCAGAGATCTCCAATCTAAACTTTCCAAGAACAAAGAGTACAGAATTACCCTAAATCTAAATCTATTAAGCACTCACTACACAGTGTGTGGTAATACAAATAACATAGACGACCATTTATCTGTGTTATAAAAGACAAGACATAATACCAACCTGTTTTATCTGCCAGCTTACGTTTCTGGGCTTTTGAAAGTTGTTCTTTTTTGTCTTTTTTCTTACTTGACGAGGCTACATTTTGTGTTTCAACTGAGATAATATTGCCTGTGGATGTCTAAAAAACAGGAAATGGTTCTTAAGGTTCGTGCCTTAAAACTTACTGGGGTAGACTAACTATAGGAATATCCTGATGACAATCCAGTAATTTCTAAACATATAAAATAATCTGATTGCTATAATTTGTGTTCTAAATCAAGTGTCTTTAGCACACTATTGGTTGTACTCTTTTAAAAGTTCAATAGTAGTACTACAGAACACTGGGGGCTGGGAAGGTGGCTCAGTGGTAGAGTGCTTGCCCTGCATGCATGAGGTCCTGGGTTCGATTCCTCAGCACCACATAAACAGAAAAAGCCAGAAGTGGCGCTGTGGCTCAATTGGTAGAGTGCTAGCCTTGAACAGAAAAGCTGAGGGACAGTGCCCAGGCCCAGAGTTCAAGCCCCACGATCAACCAAAAAAAAAAAAAAAGCAGAACCCTGGAAGGATCTTATTACTTGCATTAATGCTAGCATATCTTTAAATTGAACTGCAACAGGACTATGACAACTCTTTATAACAAAATCAGCTTCATAGAAGTAGTAATTTCATACATTCAGACCTCTTAGTTCAGCACTATTTAAGAAAAGAAGCTAAGTATATTTTACCTTTTTGTGTGTGGGTGAGGTGATCCTGAGGTTTGAACTCAGTGTCTTCAGCTCACTCAGCTTGCTTGCCAAGCACCAGCACTTGAGCCATGCTTCCAGCCCAACTTTTGTTATTATTTTAGAAATGGAGTCTTATGAACTTTTCAGCTCTGGCTTGCTTTGAAGTGGATCTCAAGCCTGGTTATCTGGCTGGTAATTATTGTTGTTTGTTTATCGTTTAAGAAATGCAATCACCCATCCTGGCCTAGAATTATGCAGCAAAATTCCTGATCCTCCTGTCTCAGGTTCCTGAGTGATGGGATTACAGTTGTGTGTCACTGTGCTGGGCTTCAGTATTTCAGTTTTAAAACACAAGTATTTTAATTTCTTATGAAGGATGAAGGTCTAGAGAATATAAATTCATTTCCCAAGTTAAATAGAAGAAAACTAAGCTTACTTAACTTCTTACTTAACTTAGATGTTAATGCATTTTAAAACAGAGAAAAAGTTTTCCAATTTTCAAAAAATACTAACTAGACTCATGAACATGGCCCAAGTGGTGGCGTGTCGGATGAACAAGGTTCTGAATTCAAATTTTAGTAGTGCCAAAAACAAAAACAAAAGAACCAAAAAAAAAAAAAAAAACCTTGAAAAAAATGATCAAAAAATCATCACTAGAACACTCAAGCCAAAACAACAAAAGAACAAATCTAGTAAAAAAAAAAATCATCACATACTCACTGTAGAATTGACAGGATGGTGATTCTCCATGAACTGTTCTTTATTGTCCTTGGCATATTCAAACAACGTATAGGTCATAGCAGTTCCAAGATTAACTTCCACTGCTTCTTGTAACTTGGCTAAGATACTCTGCTTTACAGCTGATGATCTGTAATGTGGAGCAAATATACTGTCAAGAGAAAAGTAATAGGGTGTGAAAAGAAAACACAAGGAAAACAAAACTACTCACATGGTGTTGTTAAAAAAAGCATTCATAGATATAATTGGAGGTGTCTGAGGATATGTTTCTGTCCAGGAAATCTCTATTAAGAAGGCTTTGGGGTCGCCATTTTCACCTATCTGAAAAAAAGAGAAATCTTACACTTGTGAAAAGTGATTTTAAAAAAAAGACAGAATAGTAAGTCCTGATCTTTTAAATTACTTATTCTTCCCAATGTTTATGCTCAGATCAGATTTTGAGTAGGTCTAGTCCCAGGCTAAACCTGAGCAGGAGTGATAGCAATACTGAGTCTAACTTCTGATTTAATCTGGTCTGCCTTACAGCTTTAGTTTAAGCCCACGGCCTGTCTGTCTCTCTAGACCCTCAGCCTTTCCAGTACCAAAGCTACATCTTATACGTTTTTGTCTTAAATCCAAGATGAAGGCTAGAGAAGATGAGGGGACTGGGTCAAAATAATAATTCATAAACTTGAAATACCACATATTTTTTCTTGTTTCCTAACTGCTTAATTATAGTAGATATAAAGAACAAGTCAATCCGTATGTATTAGCACATTACCAAGACACCAGAAAACCAAGGGTAAAACTGAGAGAAAAAAAACAAAAGGATAAAGTTAAAGAAAAGGAATGAATACTTTAGGCTGGACAGCAATTCCTGAATAATTATAAGTGTCTTTTCTTTTGTTCCCCTAACATTTTAAACCTTTTTAAATCTTAATGAAAAACTCAAATAGTACCATGAATGCTACTGGTCTTTATTTACTCAAAACTTCTTGCCTATTTATCTTTCCAAACACAACACTCATTCCACCAACATGTGATTTTTTCCCTTTGTTTTCTGTTGAACCAGTTGAAAATAATCAAATGTGTTAAAATATAATATAACAACTCTTAGAAATTTAACACTGATACACACTAATATAGAACTCACATTAACCGCCCCTCTCCCCCAACTTCTGGGTGCCAGTGGCTCACGCCTGTAATCCTGACTACTAGGAGGCTGAGATCTGAAGACTGAAATTGGAAGTCAGACTGGGCAGAAAAGTCTGAGAGTTTATCTCAAAATAACTAGCAAAAAGACAGCTGCAGTGGTGGTTCAAGTGGTAGAAAGCCATTATGAGGCAATGAGTTCAAGCCCTGGCAGATAAGAAAAAAACTTTAGGAAATGATTTAACAATCTGTTATGCCTAATGGCTGTCAATGCCAGGGGAAGTTTGGAGAGTCAGTTTAAACAAGCAGGAGGGCTTATGAGTAGCAGAGGAAGGAATAAAGGTAGTCCTCATTCTGTAAGCAAGGGAAACTCTTTAAACCTTTTAAATAAAGGAATAACTAAGTGTTTTAGAGAGCTGACGAGTTCTGATTGATAGAGGACTAATGGGAGAGAGTAAGGAGGAAACTGAAGAAAGGAGTGAAAGTAGGGAAGCAAGTTAGGAACATAGTAAACTATTTGGTACAAGAACCAAATCTGAGTATAGTAGTCCACACTATAGTCCCAGCACTTGGGAGAATGAGGCAGAGGATGGCAACTTTGATGCTAGTTCAAGCTACATACATAGTAAGGCTGAATGTCCTCCCCACAGCGGCCCCCCCACCCAACACATACATACAATGAAAGAGTCTAGCAAAGACAAAAGAATAATTCTCTCCAAACTCTCATCTCATTCCTCTCCAAGGAATAGATTTCATCTATTTCTAAATTTTATGATTTGTTACAACAAAAATAAAAACCCAAATTATTTTATTTTTTTAAAAATGGTTCTGAATGAGTTGGGTGCTGATGGCTCGCATCTGTAATCCTAGCTACTCAGGAGGCTGAGATCTGAGGATTATGGTTCGAATCCAGCCTGAACAGGGAAGTCCATGAGACTCTTATGTCTGATTAATCACAGAAAAAGCTGAAAGTGGTGCTATCGCTCAAGTGGTAGAATGCTAGCCTTGAGCAAAAGGAGTTTAGGGGCAGCACCCAGGCCCAGAGTTCTAGGCCCAAGAGCAGGGGAAAAAAAAAAGTTCTGAACTAAGTTTTCAAATGCTAAATATGAATGGTACCATAGTGATGAGTTTTCATTTGGATCCTTCAGAAAATACAGAAAAAAATTTAAACTACTAATTTCAAAAAACAAAATCAACACTTTTAGCCATCTTTAGATTCTGTTTCTAGCAAAGCAGTCAGTATACTTACACATGCTATATCTTACCCTATATTGAAATGAAACTGGGCTCAATTCCCGGAAACTCTCATCTCCTTCATAAATAGAACGTAATGCTTCTAGCTCCATCTGAAAGAGAAGAGTCAATGAGTTTGGTTTAGTGGTATAAATGGATCGGAACTGGAGACCCTAGTTTCGGAGTCAAGCTCTCTTTTTTTTTTCTGGGTCCGGTCGTGGGGCCTGAACTCTGGGCCTGGGCGCTGTCCCTTAGCTCTTCAGCTCAAGGTTAGCGCTCTACCACTTGAGCCACAGCGCCACTTCTGGCTTTTTTCTTTTTGCTTATGTGGTACTGAGGAATCGAACCCAGTGCCTCAGGCATGCAAGGTAAGTGCTCTACCACTGAGCCACCTTCCCAGCCCGTCAAGCTCTCTTAACTATGATAAACTGGGGCTGGGAAGGTGGCTCAGTGTTAGAGCACTTGCCTTAACTATGATAAACTACGATAAAACAAACTATGATAAAGTTAAATTATGACAAACTATGATAACACATATGACCTCAAGTGGTTATGATAGATGTGTACATATCAACACAATCATACTAGTAATACTTTAAAATTCTGTGCCGAGTATGGCTAAGCAATATATATTGGATTGTCTCACTTGATGCTTTCGTCAATTCTGTGAAGAAGACCCTATCTCTGTATTTCTTTCTTCCTGTGTAGAGGAAAATATGATTCAGTTTAAAACATCTTTAGACCATGTGTTCTCTCCTAGCCTGAAGTAGAATAAAAGCACTAAACTTGGAGATGAGAAATATGAAGCACAATCAGAAAACTCCACCCCTTTCTGTGGGACAACCATCTGGAATAGTTACCTTGAAATATGCATTAATTACTGCAAAGCGTGTAATAAAACATCAGAACTTGCTCTTCCTATTTAATTCTAACGTGGTATCTGCTGACTGAACATTGTGATCATCGTGATCATCTTTCCTTCCCTTTACTTCCTCCCAGGAAGCTTAATACCGTGCCTTCAATTACCTGGTGAAAATATTTTAGAAAGATGCTCAAGTGTCAACTAATTGATTGGACTTTGGGTGCTTTAATGATAGTAATCCAGAAACTCTGTTACATCTTCCATATGTAAAAATGGTAACTTTCAAGTGGTCTGTTCTAAATCACGCAGTCAGCTACAACTTACCCACTACTGCCCAAGGAGACTTGGCTCTAATTTTCCTCCTACCACATCCTCACAGTGCAGCCCTGGGGTGCGGACTGCACTACTTTTAGACACCGTGCCTCATCTACTCACGTTCCAGAGTTAGAAGATTCCCCTGCGGATGATGGGTAGCCTCCCCTCCAACTCCCTGACTCGATACCGCGCTAAAACAACACCTTCCTTGCAAGAAATAAATCTAAGCATGCATCGACCATGTAAGTCTGGTGGGACAGACAAAAAACGATTTCACAACACAGAAGCCGTTGACACTGCTGTCACTATTTTCCTCCAGGAGAAATCTAACTCAATTAACCCTTTTTCTGACAGACAACAGATTTAAGACATTTGAAGGTGATCGGATTCCCAGACATCATAACTCAGCACACAAACGCTGAGCCAGAACGACAGGCTTTAAGGACAGCCAAGTGCACCAGGGTCGAGCAGCAAGGACACCTCATCTCGTTAATATGGAAACTGGGGATCGGGGGGGGGGGTGCAAAATGAAAAGTGCGGGGAGCGTGGTGGTGCGTGCGGGGAGGGTACCGAGCGGACCCTTACCCATCCATGCTCGCCTCGCGGGGGACCGCTCAAAGTGGGGTACCCTGGCCAGCCTCTAGGGGCTCCTACAGGAGGACACACGCGGGTCCACGGGCTTCCCTACCTTGGGGTCTGCGAGGGAAAGGGGGTGTCCAGCCCCGGGGGGAGGGTCTCACCTCCTGGTCCTCGTTGGCACTCATCGCACCACGCAGGGAGGGGGCAGTGGTCCCGAGACCAGGGCGCCCCTTTCGTGCTGCGGGGAGCACTCTTCGCAGCCAAAGACACGGTTTCACACGCGATCCCCCCCGACCCCGGGCAATGCCAGGCGAAGAGCCGCGGTCAGGAGTCCAGAAGCCCAAGGCCAACGCTGGTGAGACGCCGGCACCCAAAGGGGACAGGGGATACTTGGGCGGTGACGACGGGGGCTCCGCCCCCTCCACTTACGCTTCTCTTATTGGTTCATTTTCTCCCCGCCCCTAGCCCTTTCCCTTCTAGGAAAGGGAGCGCCTTCCGTACGTGTTGAGCGACTGCGTAAAGTTCCGGGATTGCGGTTGGTCGTGGCGCGCTGTCACTCAGGCTCAGAAAGTGCTTCCTGTGCTAGCGGAGGTGGGGAAAAGGAAGTCTCGCCAGCTGGAGGCGGCTGGGGCTGGCGGCTCGGCGGTCTTCCCGGGCTCCCGGTGACGTCCCTGCGTCCTCCTCCTCGTCCTCTCCGGGGCTGGCGGCAGCCGGCCTCAGACGCCGCGGGCCCGGGGCGTGCGGCCGCTCACGGTGAGTCCGGGCCCGGAGGCCCGCGGGGCCTGGCGAGGCCCCCGGTCTCTTGGCGTGTTTGGTTTGGGGGCCTGTGCTTTCCTAGGGCATCAGCCGCGGCGGTCCCCACAGCGCTCTAACCTGCCGAGAAAAACATGCACTTGTTTCTGGAACCTTCCAGGATTCCTTGCCCAGGCCTTCCAGGTAGGGGTGGGGACAGAGGAGAAAGATGTCGCCTGCCTTTAGAGCTGCCAGGTTCCTGCTCCTGCCTGTCCTCGAGCCCACACGTCTGGACGTGCGACCCCGGGCCCCGCTCCTTCCCAGGAAGGGGCGAGACGTATTTTATTTTCCTTCACTATTTCAGATCTTCTTTTGTAGCTGGGCTTCCTCTAAATCCCTTCGTCTTCCTAGCCTGTGTTCTGCACCTGCACCTCCAGTTTATAAAAATACAACTGTACTATGTGTCTGTAATCTGTGTTTATTCGTTTACGTGCCACTTTGGTCAGCGTATTTCTCATCCTCTTTGGCCGCCAGATAGTAATCCCTTACACTACACGACCTCCATCCAGAGTGCTCAAGGCTGCCTGCTTTTTCTTCCTTCCGTGTCCTGGTTTGGTGTCGTTGCTCCTTTAACATCCCAGAAAGTAACATTTCCCCTTCCCCTTCCTCTGGCTATCACTGAGATCCATGCATTCTGCATCTACCCCTCTTCTCACAGAAGAAAACATGACAGTTTCATGTGCCCAAGCTTTACAGGTAGCATAAGGCGGCAACTTCTGGTACAGTTTTCATACAGTGGTTTTGGAACCGATTTACCTTAAGTTTGATCTGCAAGGGAGTCAGTTGTCACATGTTAATGGCTTGGAATAGGCTAGTCTGAATTTGACACATGCTGTGAGTATAAAGCACCTGTTTTTTGTTTGTTTGTTTGTTGTTTTTGCTGAAGGCTTTAGTTCAAAAATGGTAAAATATTAGTAATTACATTTATGCTACTTTTGGGTCTATTGGATTAAATAAAATATCACTACAGTGATTTCCACATGGTTCTTGTTTTACTTTTCAATATGAAATACTTTTAATGAATTTTGTGGCTCTTACACTATTCCTATTGGGACACTACTGGTGTAAAGATTTATGTCGTTTCTAGCTCTCAGTTTTTCAATTCTGTTTTCAAAGGTCACAGGTATTTCTTTTGACAGTCTTTGATTCTAAGGGAAATAAGCTTGTAGAGTCTAGTGTAGACTCTGGCAGTAGACAGAGATATCAAAATCACATTTTGACCTGTTTTTAATGTTCACTCCCAAATACTTTTTGTTTTCGGTTGGAATTCTCTAGAACTAGTTTATTTCTATCTTTACCCCCATAGCTTAATTATGTCCTAAAAATATCTATTTGAGAAATTCTGCTAACTTACATTTCAGACATTTTATCATTTCTGGCAGGCCTTTCAAGTCATTTTTCAATACTTATTGCTCCTTCAGTACTTAAGCTTGAGCTGCATAACCATCCGTCCTCAATTAACCTGTCTGTGAGAAGTATTCTATGTTTTAGAGCTGAAGTGGTGGCATAAGTACACCTCATTTTTCACAAAGATTATATTTGAACTATACGTAATATATTGTTGAAGATTCATCTCATTAAAAGCAGCTCACAAATTTTATTGGAAATGAGGAACTTTGTTCAGATAAGTTCATATTTATATAATTGCTTTTCTAAAGTCAGTGCACACTTGAGTTTACTATAAGCTCATCTAAAGAACACAATACATTCTCCTAGAGATTTTTGTTCATTAGTTTTTCTCTTAGGTACATTTAATGTTTCTAAAAATTGAGAAGATAGCAATTACTTAGATAATAAGCATATATTACTAATAGCCTAGGAACTTGTGAAATTGGATGTTAGCAGTTACAGAGAAATTAAAGGAAGTTTTGGTTTTTATGTCTGTAAGTTAAATTTGTTTTTATTCATTGTTGAAATGAGTTTCAAGTAGCTGTATTTGCTTTTTGTTTTGTTTTGTTTTTTGAAACAGCATCTTTCATGTACCCCAGGCCACCTTGAGCTCAATATGTAGCCTAGATTGGCCTCAAACTCATGACCTTTTTGTCCATACCTGGCTAATTTGATGATTTTCCTACTTTCTTGGTCTGTTAATCCCAAAGGTTGGTATACATTTCTTTTTACTGTGAAAATACATTATGATTTCAGCACAACACATGATATCAAGGCAGAACAGTGAACAGTTGATTGGTCTAAAAATAGACTACAACTAAAGTTTTTTGTTTGTTTTGGTATTAGTCCTGGGGCTTGAATTCATTGCCTGGGTGCTAATCCTGAGCTTCTTTTTGCTCAAGACTGGCACTCTTCAACTTGTGCCACAGCTCTACTTCTGGCTTTTTTGGTAGTTTACTGGGGATAAGAGTCTCGTGGACTTTTCTGCCCCGGCTGGCTTTGAACCATGATCCTCAGATCTAAGTCTCCTGAGTAGCTAGAATTATAGGAGTGGGTCTCTGGTGCCCAGCCACATTATTTTATTTTTCAGAAAATCTCATGTTAATAATTTTAATAGGGGGGCTGGGAAGGTGGCTCAGTGGTAGAGCGCTTGCCTTGCATGCATGAGGCCCTGGGTTTGATTCCTCAGCACCACATAAGCAAAAAAGAAAAAAAGCCAGAAGTGGCACTGTGGCTCAAGTGGTAGAGTGCTAGCCTTGAGCTGAAGAGCTGAGGGACAGTGCCCAGACCTAGAGTTCAGGCCCCACGACCGGACTCCCCCCCCCCCCCCCCAAAAAAAAAAAATTTTTTTTTTTTTAAATAGGTCCTACTCAGCAATTAAAGTTTTTCTTCTGGTTTTCTTGTATTTGGTTGACAGTTTTCAGACATTCAAAGCTTTTTCCTTTGTGTAGTGTTTTAAAAAATGAGATTCATATTTTAGATTTAGATGTTAGTTTTTTGAAAACTGAGTGCGTTAACATTTGTATTTCAGATTTTTTATGACATCTTAAACATGAGCGCCACACAATGGGATTTCCCTGTGGAATTATGTTGTCGGCCTATGGCTTTTGTCACACTTACGGGCTTAGATGTGGTATACAATGCTGTCCATCGAGCTGTCTGGGATGCTTTTTGTGCCAATCGGAGAGCTGATCGGGTACCAATTTCTTTCAAGGTGCTCCCAGGTGACCATGAATATCCCAAATGTAGACCAAAGGTAATGACAATATAGTTGCATACATTTTTTCCTTTGGTGTGTGTATGTGTGTATCTGTTTTGTTCCCATTGTTTGTGTTAGAAAATCCCTGAATTTATCAAGATAGGCATTTTTATTTACTGTGTAATAATATGTTTGATATTCAGATTTTTTTGATAATCCCTTTAAAAAGTTTTCTCTCCTTTTTTAAAATTCTTCCCCTATTTGTAGGGGGGGAACACCCACATGTCTCCACAATTTTAACAAAGTCACATTCTCTACTCATCGTTACCAGTATTATAGAATCAGTGGTCTTTGCAGATTGGTTCAATTTCACACATTTTTTTTGGGTGCTTGTTTCTGCAAGTGTAATTAGAACCAGGCAACCAGCTGGTGATACAGATTGAACCAAGATACTTCTCTATCTCTGAGAGATACACATAACTAAAACAGTTTACTCAATGTGGAATGAAGAAAGCAAACTTCAGAACTGACTTTAAGGCGAATAACATGACATATTAATTTGCCTTATTAGAATAATTATAGGGCTGGGAAGGTGGCTCAAAGGTAGAGCGCTTGCCTTGTATGCATGAGGCCCTGGGTTCGATTCCTCAGCATCCCATATGCAGAAAAAGCTGGAAGTGGTGCTGTGGCCAAAGTGGTAGAGTGCTCACCTTGAGCTGAAGAGCTGAGGGACAGCACCCAGGCTGAGTTCAGGCCCCAGGACCAACAACAACAAACAATTTATAAAGCTGATAATGTCAATTTATATAAATTATATATAACACTTAAACTATATACAATTACATATATGTTTTTATATAATACTTACCTCACTGTATCTGTGTTTTTGCCCTAGAACAGTATTTATATGAAACAATGTCATCAGGGTTTTATCTACCCATCTCTGAAAACAGAAATCTCAGCCCCACTGGTCCTATGTAGTTTTACCCAGTATGGGCTAAGTACAACTAACCCTTTTTCCTCTTTCTTTAATTCTGCAATTGTTTGCTTTTTATTTCTTCATCTCAATTCTTCCTTGAGTCCCCAGCTTTCTTTGTCTTGGACTTCCTTACTCTCCTTGATTTTCCTTACTTGAATTAAACAGTAGTTCATTGTGAGTTGAAGTAGTCTGAGTCACTGTGGGTAGAAGTAATTTGAAATTTCAGATGAATTCTTCAGGGCCAGCATGCACATCATCTATGATATTTACTTTTACTCTGGCCCTTATTGCTACCATTCAAAGTGACTGCTGTTTTGTCTTCATATTTAAGAATTGTGTCTCACTTTTTATTTTATGGGTAAGGTAAGATAATGTTACAGAAACCCTCGTGGACTGAAGGTTAGTGTTTGTTTGTGGTACCACACTAAGAAGATGCTCTATTGCAGAGCCATGCCTCCAGCCCTTTTATTGGTGATTTTGAGATAAGGTCTTGATTTTTTTTTTTCAACCTGGGCTACAGTCCTCTTATTTATGTGATCTTCACATTTGTGCTTCCTTCCATAGCTGGGATGACAGGTGTGTGCCTCTATGCCCAGTTTTTTTCTGTTGAGCTGCTGCTGGAGGACTTTTTTGTCCAGATTGTCTTGGAACTATGTTCCTCCAGTCTCAGCTATGCACATAGGTGGCATGACAGGAGTGAGCCACTGGCACCCAGCTTAGACACTATTTTACTTGAGCAGATTTGCAACAACAAAAGCTGGATTGGTGAAGAATAGAAATAGAATTACCTAGAAAAGGGCTAGATTCTTTACAATGTGTTTGAGATCTTGGCGTCATTAGGAATTCTGTCTTTGATCATTCTTCCTCAGTTAATTTATTTTTATTTATTTATTTTTGGGTCCGGTCGTGGGGCCTGAACTCTGGGCCTGGGTGCTATCCTTCAGCTCTTCAGCTCAAGGCTAGCGCTCTACAACTTGAGCCACAGTGCCACTTCCGGCTTTTTTCTTTTTGCTTATGTGGTGCTGAGGAATCGAACCCAGGGCCTCATGCCTGCAAGGCAAGCGCTCTACCACTGAGCCACCTTCCCAGCCCTCTTCCTCAGTTTAAAAATAGGAGATTCTACCTCAGGAATTGTTATCTCTTACCTAATTTTTTTTTTTCGTCAGGGGCTTGAACTCTGGGCCTTGGCGCTGTCCCTCAGCTCTTCAGCTCAAGGCTAGCGCTCTACCACTTGAGCCACAGAGTCACTTCCGGTTTTCTGAGTGGTTTACTGGAGATAAGCATCTCATGGACTTTTCCTGCCCAGGCTGGCTTTGAACCGTGATCCCCAGATCTCAGCCTCCTGAGTAGTTAGGATTACAGGCATGAGCCACCGGCGCCCAGCCTTCTTACCTAACTTCTGTAGGTCTGAATGTCCACATTTTAAAAAATGAGCAGTATGGCTGGGCGCCGGTGGCTCACATCTGTAATCCTAGCTACTCAGGAGGCTGAGGTCTGGGGATCACGGTTCAAAGCCAGCCTGGGCAGGAAAAGTCCATGAGATGCTTATCTCCAGTAAACCACCAGAAAACCAGAAGTGACACTGTGGCTGAAGTGGTAGAGCGCTAGCCTTGAGCTGAAGAGCTGAGGGATAGCGCCCAGGCCTAGAGTTCAAGCCCCACAACCAACAACAACAACAAAAAAGAGCAGTATGTATATTGAATGATAAATACATATAATGTGCCTGGCACTCGGGTGGTTTCTGCTGCTCTTGTCACATAAGTCTTTCATTTCCTCCTGTTTGCAGAGGACATCGTATGAATGGTACATTCCTAAAGGGATCTTAAAGACTGGCTGGATGAATAAGCATCTGAATCTGGTGCCAGCCCTAGTGGTTGTCTTCTATGAATTGGATTGGGATGAGCCTCAATGGAAAGAAAAGCAGTCTGAATGTGCAACCAGGGTGGAAATTGTCAGGTAAGACCTGCTTATATCAGGGTGGCCCAGGTAGTTTGCGTGTCATGTCTTTACTAACATTTATTAGACTGAGGACTGTTTAGACTGCAGTGGATACTTTGGGGATTGTTGAACTCCACTGAAACTTGCTCAGTTCCCAATAACTAGTCTTAAGTATTAACTAAATATGATACCATGGTATATGAAGAAATCTGGAATATAAAATGGTTTGAATTTTCAAGTGGTTGTTTTATACCTTTGATCTTTTTTGGAAATAGTACTTTACTATTTGATCACATTTTTCCTGTTCCCTATCCCTATTATCAAGGTAATTCTTTTGGATGATTAATATCTCAAAGGTCTAAGTTTTACACTAAAGTATATATTAAACTTGCACTCTTAAGCAGAGTTTTATAAGGATGGAAGCTTGATATGAGATTATACTTTGAAAATTGAAATTATGGAACTTACAATATGAAGTTCATAATATGAAGTTGTATGTTCTTTTTGTTCAGAAAAAGATTTACTGTGATAATGATCGTTTTAGTTGAATTTATCTTCAATTGAGTTATCCAGCTTGTATTTTGAATATAGTTCTAAGAATTTAATTACTTAATTCTATTGCTATGTTTTCTTTGCAGGCAGAGTTTACAAGGAAGGAACACAAAGGTCGCAGTGGTTCTGATTCAGAAGAAGACCCCTCTGCCACCAGGTATCCAATGTTAATTGCTTTAAGCTTCCAGCTCTTCATATTATGAGGTAGTTAGTTTTTAATGTTTAAACATTTTACACAGTTATAAGACAAATATTGTGTTAATCTTTAAAAAGCACCAATCACTGGGTGCTGGTGGCTTGCACCTATCATCCTAGCTTACTCAGGAGACTGAGATCTGAGCATTGTGGTTTGAAGGAGCCAAACAGAAAAAGTCCATGAGACTCTTATCTCCAAACCACTAAAAACATAAAGGCGAAAAAAGAGGAAGAGGAAGAGGAGGAAAATGAGGAGAAAGAAAAGGAGGAGAGGAAAAGGAGGAGGAGGAAACAAAGAAAAAGGGGAAAAAAGTACCAATTGTACATGGATGAATATTTGTAGTAAAATTAAAATAGTAAAGACCACAAATCTTAACTCCTACTCCTAGTTCCACTTAGCTCCTCATATAGGCACACATGAATTAACAAAATAGTTTTATAGAAAAGAATGTTATTTACCTGAAATCTAATGTTTTATTCCTTTACATAGTGATAAATGCTATAGGATTTGTCATTTCCTCCAGGAAAATGTTTTCATTTTAAATACTTATTTTACCAAATTGTCATAGGCTAAAGTATTTTTTGTTGCTGTGTTGAAACTTGTAGCATGCCAATTATCTCTCTCTCTCTCTTTCTTTTTTGGAAGGGGGTTGATATTGGGATTTGAACTCTGGGCCTCACGCTTGCTAGACTTCCCTGCCCATGCTGGCTTCAAACTGTGATCCTCAGTTATCAACCTCCTAGTAGCTAAGATAACTGGTTTGAGCCACTGGCACTCAGCTCTTTTTTGTTTTAAATAGTTATGTGATGTGGCATTGCCTGGCCTATTCTGGCTCAGAAAATTGTATAATGCTTTCTTAATGGGTATTTACTATGTAATTTCTGACTCCAAGCTCTCAAGGGGCCCAGAATCCCTTTTAACATGAAAATTTGTTCTTTCTAATTCCAACTTTATTATAGTTTAAAAATATAATTGTACTGTTATTAAGGTATTACACAGAGGTTACAATCCCCTAAGTCAGATAATGAATGCAGTTCTTCTTGGATAATGTCACCCCTTCCTTTGCTCTCTCTTAGGTTCCCCCTCCTGCTGTTCACAAGTTGCATACTATATATTTTTAATGGTGTATATTGAATCCATAACTGCATCTGTTCACCCTTCCTTCTTCCATTTCTGTGCCGTTTTTGCTTACCTAAAAAGACAAAATAAAAAATAAAGCACAAACAACAGCAATAACAAGAATAAAATCATGTTTCCATTCCCTGTAATTTGTTTCTTTTTTTTCTTGTAATTTGTTTTGATAAATAGTATTTTAAACGTTCAGAGAGTTATGCCTTTGAACTATATTAGTGTGGAAAATACATGTGTATTTTACTTCTTTGTGTTTCTGGGACTTAACAGGAGAAGATGTGATTGCTTCAGAAAGGGCAGCAGCTCTGTGCAATGTGTGTGAACTCTCAGGGAAGTCCTTGTTCGTATTGCCCCACACTGACCACCTCGTGGGGTATATTATAAGGTAAGCAGAGGTTCTCTATAACATCCTTACATTGTTCCTTAGGAATAAAAAAAAGACACATTCATAAAGAAAGAATTCAAATGGTACATGGGATAAAGAGTAACATGAAACTCGTAAACTCTACTATTGTCTGAGGCAGGTATGCTAAGTAATTTCTTAAGTTTACTTGTGGAAATCCTTTGTTTAGAGAGGTTTGCTAACATTCTTAGAAAGGAAAATTAGAAGACTTTCAAACTTAATGAGTTAAGCATTTTTCTTTGTGTCTAGAAATCCAGGTTACACTTTGGTTCATTTTTGGATCATTTTTATGTTAAGCATTATGTAAACTAGACATCATCTCTTCAGAATTTCACTTTCAGGTCTTTATAACATCTTTAGCATATGATTTTTTGACAGGTTAGAGAATGCCTTTTATGAACATGCACAGACTTATTACTACACAGAGATCAGAAGAGTGAAATCCCATAAGGAATTTCTCAATAAAACAACACACCAGGTACATTTTCTAAAATAAGAGTATGTTATCTATTATTGATTATGTTTAAGGTGATTACTGTATGCTTTTAATACTTGGAAATTTTAAATGATGTCTATTTCAAAGTTTTTTGAAAACTTAAAACTGATGCCAATGGCTCATTTTTATGAGTCTTTCAGTCTTTAACTCAGGAGGCTGAAATCTAAGGATTGCAGTTTGAAGTCAGCCTGGGCACAAGAGTCCATGAAATTCTTACCTCCAGTTCACCACCAAAAAGCCAGAAATGGGGTTGTGGTTCAACTGGTAGAACTTTGAGCAACAATGCTTAGAGATAGCACCTAGGACTTGAGTTCAAGCCTCAGCACTGGCACAGAGAGCTTGTTTTTATAGTTTTTGATTTTTTTTTTAACTCTTTGCCCTTAAAATTTTTTTAAGTTAAAAAATGTTTTTAAAGTTTTATAGTCATTATATATATACTTGTTTGTTGAAATGATGTTGAATTTAAATTTTGAATATTCTTTCTACTTTGAGCATTATAGTATATAATCTATGTCTGTAATATGATTCTTTTCAATCCTTTTTTTCAGCTTTTATTTGTTAGACATCAGTTCAAAATAGCTTTCTTCAGTGAGTTGAAACAAGATACACAAAATGCTCTTAAGTAAGTTTATGTTTTCAATCTAAATTTTTCTTTGTTAGTGATAGTATATTAATAGCAATTTCTAATTCTTAGACAATCTTTAATTAATATTAAAATATTTGTTGATTAAATTCTAATATTTAATATTTGGTTTGTCTAGAGGGAATGAGATATAGTATTTTTGGATTTAGAAAAAATTCCAATTTACCAGGCACTAGTAGGTCATACCTGTACCTAGCTACTCAGGCCTAGCTACTCAGAAGGCTGACGTCAAAGGATTATGCTTTGAAGCCAGCTCAAGCATGAAAGTTCTTGAGACTCTTATTTTCAATTAACCATCAAAAAGCCAGAAATGGAGCTGTGGCTTCAGTGATAGACCTGTAGCCTTGAGAAAAAAAGCTCAGGGACAACACCTAGACCCTGAATTCAACACCAGCACCAAAATAAATAAATTTTCATTTTATTATTAGAAGTAAGGTTTTTTTTGTTGTTGCTTTGTTTTTTGTTTTTGGTAGGTCATGGGGCTTGAACTCTGGGCCTGAACACTGTACCTCAGCCCTCAAGGCTAGTACTCTACCACTTGAGCCACTGTACCACTTTGGTTTTCTGAGTGGTTTATTGGAGAGAAGAGTCTCACGGACTATCCTGCCCAGGCTAGCTTTGAACTTCAATCGTCAGATCTCAGCCTCATGAATAGCTAGGATTACTGGTGTGAGCCACTGGCACCAGGCTTCGAAGTAAATTTTATAAAGCTTTTTAATTAGATATTATGATCTAAGGAAAAATGCTGTTAGTATTTTCCCAAACTTTCTATTTTGTATTTGTATATTCAGTGAAGTTCCAAAGTATAGTAAACATCTAAAACACACTATGGATTTTTTTGTTGGAGAGACAGTTCTGGAGATTCAACTTGGGAGTTGTTAAAGCAAGTACTGGACGCCTTTGGCCTTTTTGCTTAATTTGTTTTTCAGATAGGGTCTTTATTTTTAGGCAGTTCAGCCTAAACCTGATCCTCCTTGTAATTGGGATGATAGGTACAGTCTTCCCAATTATTTTATTTATAATGCCTGCCTATAACCTCATTTTGCATCTGAAGACTCTGCTTAGAGTCTTGAAGATTGTTTGCAAATGTGTTGGCAGTGGTTAAGCATTTTATTCCTTTGTTTTTACTAATCACAGTTTTAAAAAACACAATTTCTAGCCAGGCTTCGGTGGCTCACACCTGTAATCCTAGCTACTCAGGAGGCTGAGATCTGAGGTTTGAGGTTCAAAGCCAGCCCAGGCAGGAAAGTCCGTGAAACTCTTATCTCCAGTAAACCAGCAGAAAACCTGAAGTGGCGCTGTGGCTCAAGTGTTGAGCTGAAGAGCTGAAGGACAGCACTCAGGCCCAGAGTTCAATCCCCATGACCAACAAAAAATACAACAACATTCCCTTACCCCTCACAATCTCTGTGTAACTTTACCTCAGTTGTTTAAAGAATGTCAGTATATACAGAGATTAAAAACCAGCTCATAATTCGCTTGACAAAACATAAAGAAAAATAATAACTGGCTTTAATGTAGTTCATTATTAAGAGTGAAGTTAAACCTCTTCAACTTCAGGTCTGTAGAAAAGTAACTTCAGAAAAAAATATATACCTAGAATGGTTAACAGTGCACCTCTTCCTATGGTTTGGAAATTTTTTCATTACTGTCTAAATTTGGGCAGCCCCATACTATACCTCCAAGACCTTTCCTCTCACCTCCAGTCTCGCCTAGCCTTGCAGCTCTAAGGATGCTACCCTTCTCTCCAGCCACCCTCTGAAATCAGTAGTAGTTCCTTAGCCTATGCAGGTACTTTGAAAGCTGTTGACCTGTGCTTTCTTGATAACATCTTTGTGAATACTATGTCTCTTTGAGAAACTCATATAGTACTGTGAAATAGTTTTTAAAAGAACACTCATTTTCCAACAAAATTCTGTCCAGTTTACTTTTATTATTAAACTCATTTTCTATTGGTTATTGACAGATGTTAATGACAGAACAATGATATTAGGTGGTTTTGGTCTTTGGGAAAAATCATTGATCACTTCTACATATATCAGTAGTTAATCATATTTCATGACAGTGGCAATTGGTGAATATACTGTTATTGATCTGTTGAATGCTAAGAAATAGTGGGTAAATAGTTTCACTTACAATTTGTTCTTGCGAAAATCTTGAAATTTATTCTTATCATAATTAACCACTTCCTCATCTTTTTGTTAGGAATTATAGGACTGCCTATAATCTTGTACATGAATTGAGAGCACATGAAACTAATATAATGGAAATTAAGACTATGGCAGGATTTATAAACTACAAGGTAATAGTTTGCTTTCAAATAAAGATTTGTCTTAATATTGTTAACTTTTTTTAAATGGAAAAATCAAAATTTCTTGCTCTGCAAATTGTATTTGATTAATTACATTTTCCTTTTTTTAAATTTTTATTTATTTTTTTTTGCCAGTCCTGGGACTTGAACTAAGGGCTTGGGTACTGTCCCTTAGCTTCTTTTGCCCAAGGCTGCACTCTACCACTTGAGCCACAGCACCACTTCCAGCTTTTTCTGTTTATGTGGTTCTAAGGAATTGAACCCAGGGCTTCATGCATGTTAGGCAAGTACTCTATCACTAAGCCACATTCCCAGCCAATTTTTCCATTTTATATATCTTTTTACAGGGCCCTGATTCTTATCAGGCTAATAGCAATGATTGGGCCTTGTTATTGAGAGCTAAGAGAGTTTTTCTTACAGTGTTGGTTTTTTTTTTTAAAGGAGCAGGAAGAGCTGGGAATGTGGCTTAGTAGTAGAGTGCTTGCTTAGCATTCATGAAGCCCTGGGTTTGATTCCTCAGTACCACATAAATGGAAAAAGCTGAAGTGGCGCTGTGGCTGAAGAGGTAGAGTGCCAGCCTTGAACAAAAGAAGCTCAGGGACAGCGCCTAGGCCCTCAGTTCAAGCCCCAGGACTGGCAAAAAATAAAAAAATAAATAAAAAGGAGCAGGAAGTAGTGAGAAGAAAGATATCTATATTTAAAATGTTTTAAGATACATAGTATAAGAACTTTGTAAGCCTTAATCTATCACCATTCCTGGCTCTATTCACTTAGAGGAAAATTCCATAACTATTGCTTTGAGTGTTTTAAGATTGTATGCTTTAGAAATAGATTCCTCACCTTCACCTGTCAGGCCAATGAGGGCTGTTTTTAGCTAGCTTTTGCTACACTCATCTTTTAAAGTATGTAGTCCTGGGTTGGTGGTGTGTAGGTGAATTCTTTAATTCAATGTGAGTATAAATGTAAACTAGTATAACTTCTATAGGGACTATTTTTGCAATGACTGTTAGATTTAAAATGAATGTTCCCGTTGATCTAGCAGTTCTATTTCAGGAAGTTTGACATATGCTAATGTTCGCAGACCACATCTATAGATACTTCATCCTCTGATCATTAAAGATTAGAAACAAGCCAACATTAATTGATTAGTTATATAAATTATAACTAGTGGAACTTTGTATAACTAGTAAGGTTATTGTGATTCTGTAGGTTGTTTAGTATTGATATCTAAGACATAGGTGAATAAAGTAAGGCACAACTCAGCATATATTTGGTCTGATGCTATTTGTACACTAGTTTATGTGTATAAACACACACACACATTTACACACTTGTGTGTGTTAGAATGTATCTGCTGTATACCAGAAATTGTTTGCCTCTGGACATGGAAAAAGGATGGCTGGGGACAGGGATTCTGTTGTATCCCAAAAATAAAATTGAAAATTATATTAAGCATATGGAAATAAATTCAGGTTTTATTTCTTTGGTTATTCTGTTTATCCTCAATACATATAAGCTGCATTGTTTTGAAATAACATCCCAAACAAAAAGTTTTTGAAAATTTCTGTAATCCTTGTGTGATGTGGAAGTATTTATAATTTGTATTGCAGAAAGTCTTTCTTTATACCAAAGGACAATATTTTCTTTCTTATTTACCCTCTGGAAATATTTTTTTTAGGGGGAGGGGGGTCCGGTCGTGGGGCCTGAACTCTGGGCCTGGGTGCTGTCCCTCAGCTCTTCAGCTCAAGGCTAGCACTCTACCACTTGAGTCACAGCGCGCCACTTCCGGCTTTTTTCTTTTTGCTATGTGGTGCTGAGGAATCGAACCCAGGGCCTCATGCATGCAAGGCAAGCGCTCTACCACTGAGCCACCTTCCCAGCCCCCTCTGGAAATATTTTATCCTGTATTTTCTTCATTGGATATAACTTTTTGCATTCTGTACTTTGAAAAGCTTTTCTAAGGTGTAGTAAATTCAGTGTCAGTTGAACTATTTAACTTCATTTCTCAAAGGTAGATGAAATCTTCTTTTAGTAAGCCCATTCTGATCAGTAAAATTAATCCTACTGCAAAGAACATCAGAGAAGTAAATTGTAAGCTTTTTTAAAGTTACTAAAGCACATTTTAAAGTTAATATGCCTTCTGACTTTTATCTCCCTTGTGGGATTGGTTTTCCATTTACAGATCTGTAGGCTATGTTTTCAACACAACACCCCACTGGATGCAATTGCTCAGTTTCGAAAACACATCGACTTGTGTAAGAAAAAGATTGGAAGTGCAGAGTTGTCTTTTGAGCATGCTGCATGGATGTCTAAGCAGTATGTTTTTAAATTGTGTTTTTTTGTATATTTTAAAAAATAAGGTAGGGATTTAAAAGGAGTTAGCATGAACTTTGGTCCTATTTTCACTAAGTAGGTTTTTAATGGTACAGCATAAATGGATTTTCAGGAAAAATCATATTAATTAGTTTCTTAATGCAAATCAGTTAATATATAGTACCATATATTTCCTTTACCATATATTTGTTGAGTCTCCACTCACTGTTCCTCATTGAGCAAAACAAAATTCCTGCTGGCAGGAGCTAACAGCTGAGACTGTTGTTTAAAAATTGCTAAAGCAAATCTGAATGTATTTGACAACAACATGTTGAGATCTAATTTGATTGTAGTTAGATTTGTTAACACAGAAGAGATGGCTTAAATACAAAATTTAACCTTATAATTAATGTGTATTATTTATGAAGAAATATAACACATACTATTAACCAGTAGTATTATTTTAATACAGTGTGTTGAACTTGTGGTTTTTAGGAGAATGATAGCTAGTTAGAAGGAACTTGATTCTTTGTTGTTTTTTGTTTTTTTAATTTCCTATGCCTTAAAATGTTTTCCTTTTTAAGATTTCAGGCCTTTGGAGATTTATTTGATGAAGCTATTAAGTTAGGGTTAACAGCTATTCAAACTCAGAATCCTGGTTTCTATTATCAGCAGGCAGCATATTACGCTCAGGAGCGGAAACAGCATGCAAAAACCCTCTGTAACCATGAGGTGAGGTCCAAGTCTTGTCTATTTAGTGTTTAGGAAATGTATTAATCTTTTCTTGAGAGAAGCTACACTGACTGGAATGGATTAATTTTTTTCAAGTCTTTGAATATAGTTTTTCTTTTATAAATTTAGGAATTATGACTGCTTTCAATTTTAACTGAAGTAATACATTTTTACCTGAATTGAAGTTTTGCTTATATGATTTATAACTACTATTTTAATGTATTATATTTTTAAACTTTGGAGTATTGTAATTAAAACAATGTTGTAGAAGAGATTAACACTAAATTTTGTGAAGGATATGTGAAACTGGGCATTGACATAACATTGACTGGTATGAAAAAAATAATACTTCCGGGAAATTAATTTGAGGTGCTTTAAAACTAAGCATATCCTTCTGTGCCAGTCTGGAACTTGAACTCAGGGCCTGGGCACTGTCCCTGAGTTTTTTTGCCAAAGGATAGCTCTACTACTTTGAGGCACAGCTCTACTTCTGGCTTTTTGATGTTTAATTGGAGCTAAGAGGTTCATGACCTTTCATGCCCAGCTGGCTTTGAATAGCAGTCTTCAGGTCTCAGCCTCTCAAATAGTAAGATTACAGGTATGAGCCAGGACCCAGCAAAACTAAGTATATCCTTTGATTCAGGTTTCATTTTCAGAAATACTAAGGCAGATAATAGTTCCTAAGAACTAAGCACTGAGATGTATGAAGTCCTCATAGATTTATTGATTATAACACAAATATAAATAAGATGAACTACAGGGAATTTGTTAAAATATGGGATGACCAGCAGCCATGAAAAATAATACTAAGAACAGTATTGAGATGAAATGTACAGATATATTTAACTGGGAAAAACAGTTGAGAAATTATTCTAATTAGTAACAGCTAAATTTTTCACAAAGATATGTAAGAAGTGGATATATACTTTTTTTTAACAAAGAGTAATACATTTGTAAGTCATTTAATTTTTTTTTCATGGTGCTGGGGCTTGAATTCAGGGCTTGAGCTCTTTTTTTTTTTTTTTTTTGGGGTCCGGTTGTGGGGCCTGAACTCTGGGCTTGGGTGCTATCCCTCAGCTCTTCAGCTCAAGGCTAGCACTCTACCACTTGAGCCACTGTACCACTTCTGGCTTTTTTCTTTTTTGCTTATGTGGTGCTGAGGAATCGAACCCAGGGCTTCATGCATGCAAGGCAAACACTCTACCTCTGAGCCACCTTCCCAGCCCCTTGGGCTTGATCTCTTGCTTGGCTCTCTTGCTCATAGCGGGGACTCTACCACTTGAGCCATACATCCAGCCCTAAATTTTCTTTTTTTCCTTTTGGATATTTTGTACAGTTCTCAACAATATCCTTTTACTTTGGTTTCAGAAGGAAGAAGTTATAAATAAGTGAAGCAGTATAAATCTTTAATTTCTAATACTAGAAATAATCCCTTCCATTTAATTAGCCCTAATACCAGGGCAAATATACAAGTAACAATGAAGGAAAGTAGTGTCTTCTCTTTAAAATTCCTAGTAACATTGTTTTTTGTTTGTACAGAGGGCATTTATATTGATTCAATATCAAACATAATTTGTAATACATTTTTATTATCTCCTAGCAATGATAAATATAAAGAAGTTATTATGAAATCATTTTTCAGAATTAGATTGACTTCTTCAGTTTGTAATCTTTTCCAAATTAAATGAAATATTTAATTTGTTAAAATTTAATTCATGTTAAAATATTTACAGCTGTGATATTTAAGTGTATTGGATGTTGGTATTTATGAAAACTTTATTCAAGATTGAACAAGGGTTGGTTTATGATGGGTTACATAAACTTATGTAAGTTTCTGTTTTAATTTACAGGCGTCTGTAATATATCCCAATCCTGATCCCTTAGAAACACAAACAGGCATTCTTGACTTTTATGGACAAAGGTCATGGCGACAAGGAATACTAAGTAAATACATTCTTTCATTCATCCTCATAAAGGCAAAGACCAATTATAATTTCTTATGCTTAATTAAATCAGTGGAAAAATTATGTTGAAGTAAACATAGTTGGTTTTTAAACTTTAAAAATATTCTTTTTTTTTGTTTTTTGAAGGGTTTGTAATTTTACAAGCCATTAGTAACTTTTGATTAAAGGCATTGATGTGATTAAAATATTTGGACATAGCTGGGAGTATGGCATAAGTGGTAGAAAACCTTCCTAGCAAGGTTGGAGCCCTGAGTTCACCAAAAAATAATAAATAAAAATTGAGATGTTGTCATAAATGACACATAAACTATTATTGGCTTTTTAAACATCTTAATTCCAGTTAAACTTAATGGTTGGTTCTTTTTTTTTTTTGGTGGTGGTGGGGCTTGAACTCTGGGCCTGGGTGTGTCCCTGAGCTCTTCAGCTCCAAGGCAAGTTCTCTACTACTTGAGCCACAGTGCCACTTCTGGTTTTCTGGTGGTTAATTGGAGATAAGAGTCTCACAGACTTTACTGCCTGGGCTGGTTTTGAACCATGATCCTCTGATCTCTGCCTCCTGAGTAGCTAGGATTACAGGTGTGAGCCGCTGGCGCCCTGCTGGTTGTTTCTTGTTTGTTTGTTTACATTTTTAAAACAATTATTTTGTATCATCTTAACAATTTAATTGTATCTTTTCTCTGTTTTATAAGTACTTCAACTTGAGAAATATTTATGGCATCTGAATCTTAAGTGTGAAGAAGACTGGGGTTATATCTCAGCTGCCTAGCATACACAAGAAATTATGTACCTGACATGCTATGTATGGTATTCTTCAAATGGTTGAATTTTGTAGGTAAAAGAACACTGGGGTAGGAATGTTCTATTCAGAACAGAGAAGTTTCCATGACAATAAAGCTTTCTCTTAGAGCTTTTAAGATTTTAGAATGTTTAGGAAAATACATTAAAGTAGAAGAATCTGGGAATGTACAGATACAGTGTCCATGTGAAGACTTATGTTAAATGAGCTACTTAAAATGGGTTGTGTTATATCTTACACAGGTTTTGATCTTTCTGATCCTGAAAAAGAGAAGGCAGGAATTCTTGCCATTCAGTTAAAGGAGAAAAATGTTGTTCACTCTGTAAGTTACCCCCTCATATAAACTGTCCTTAACTTATTCAAGAAAAAGATGAGATTATTTTAATTTAAATATTTTCTTTTTTTATCTTTTTTAACAGGAGGTAATAATAACTCTTCTGAGCAATGCTGTTGCACAATTCAAAAAATATAAGTGTCCAAGAATGAAAAGTCATCTAAGTATGTATCTTTAGCCCAGTATAGTTTCATGTAACTTGGAATACCTTTAAATTATGTATATAAATCTTTTTTCTTTTGCAGTGGTTCAAATGGGAGAGGAATATTATTATGCAAAAGATTATACCAAAGCTTTGAAGTAAGTTCTGTGTAGAATGTAAGCATTCTAATCAGAATTCTTACAGTGAAATTGGAATATTCATATTAAGCATGTATTTATATATTTCTATTAAATGCCATTTCTGTGACAATTTTTTCAAGTGCTGGTAATAATCTGTTTTTCTGAGTTTGGTAAACCTCAGGTTTAGCTAATGTGTAAAATCCTGTAAACTGTATTTAAAGATTTTTCTTATATAAAATGTGTTTTATAGTGTTTCCAAAAACTTTTTATTTCAGTATATCTTACTGTTTGTTGCCTCTCAGGTTGCTGGACTATGTGATGTGTGATTACCGCAGTGAAGGATGGTGGACTCTGCTCACATCTATACTGACTACAGCACTGAAGTGCTCCTACCTCATGGCCCAGCTGAAGGATTACATTACGTATTCCCTAGAACTCCTTGGCAGAGGTAACATGATGTTCTTTCCATAAAATTCCACTCAACATAATTAACATCTTCAACCTTTTTAAAATGAACAGATTTAGTCTCTCATATTTAGCAGTACTTTTATGTGCAAATCATTGTACTTAGAAGGAGTATTTACTCTCAAATGTTTTAGAAACAATAAATAGAGGAATAGACTTTCTGTCTTACAGTTCTCATTTTTTTCTTTTCCATTCAGCTTCAACTCTTAAAGATGAGCAGAAATCTCGGATAGAAAAGAACCTCATAAATGTCTTAATGGTAGGTTGAAATTCTTTATATAAAATATGGTATAGGAGAGTTGAGGTGTTGCTTAAGTGACAACACTTGCAAGGCCATGAGTTCAAATCCAGTACTACCAAAACCCAAACAACAACAAAAGTGTTACAGGAATATCTGTCAATTATCTGTCTATCTATCTACCTACCCATCTATTTGTATACCTCTCTATATACACTTTTTTTTTTTCAACTAGTTGAGCAAATGTTTGACTGTTGTTGCAGAATGAAAGTCCTGATCCTGAGCCTGACTGTGATACCCTAGCTGTGAAGACTGCTCAGAAGCTGTGGGCAGACCGAGTTTCTCTGGCTGGCAGCAATATTTTTACAATATGTGTACAGGACTTTGTGCCATTTGGTAGGTAGACAGTAATTATTTTAAAGAAAGCACCCTTCTTTTTATAAAATGAACAGATGCAGAAGGAAGAATTCAGAAGTTAAAAATTTTCATGGTACAGTCATTTTATGGGTAAATTATGGATTTGTTTTTTCTCCTTAATGTCTTCCAAAAATAATCATGTATTAAATAATTTATATATGTTTAAAAACATACCTTGTTGGCTTATAACAGGTGTTATTTGAAGCACACTTGACAAGATAGTTATTTAAAAGATTTATGCATGAATGTCTGAGCAGAAGATTTGGAATCAAAGCAGAATGGTTATCTTGTCACTATTTGGGGAAATTATGTTTTTAAGATTGAAGATGGATTTGAAGCTACCTATATTCTTTTATTATTTATATGCTATTTAATATATCTTATTATTCTTATATCTACATTTATTGTTATATCTTTTTTCATTTTTAAAATGTTAGCTACATTAATGTCTAACTGCCTAAAGTGCGTAAGTCCACAAATATACCTCAAGTCAGAAAGAATGAGGATGTACCATTTGTGACAAGTTAGTGTGGCTCTTAGAATGTGTACAGGTCTTGTATATCTGGTATTGTATAACCCAGCTCTTTTTGTTTGATTTCTAGTACAATGTAAAGCCAAGTTTCATGCTCCAAGTTTTCATGTTGATGTTCCTGTTCAATTTGATGTTTATCTAAAGGCTGATTGTCCACACCCCATTAGGTTTTCGAAGCTCTGTGTTAGCTTTAATAATCAGGTAATGGTATTTACCATGTTTTAATGTATGTATATATTATTGTGACTTGTATTACACCACATAAGATGAACCTGATGAATTTTAGGCGTTAATAATTTCATGGTAACACATGAACCTTATTTTAAAAATAAAAATTTATAAACTTTTAGAAATTCAAGTGTTTACTTTTTCTATTCTATTTTATACTTCTGAAATCTAAGAACTCCATGTTCTTAGATTTTCTGTAATGCATAATTTTTTTTTTTTTTTTTTTTGGGTCCGGTCGTGGGGCCTGAACTCTGGGCCTGGGCGCTGTCCCTCAGCTCTTCAGCTCAAGGCTAGCTAGCACTCTACCACTTGAGCCACAGCACCACTTCCGGCTTTTTTCTTTTTGCTTATGTGGTGTTGAGGAATCGAACCCAGGGCCTCAGGCATGCAAGGCAAGCAATCTACCACTGAGCCACCTTCCCAGCCCAAGACTTCACACTTGTAAGGCAGGTGCTATGTCACTTGAACCACTCCACTGTTTCCATGTTTAAGTATTTTTGAAGTACTGTGTATAAGTACTTGATTATATTCCATATCTTTCATTAGTGTGTTCATGTATAGATTGTCTGATCACCTAGAATTCAGTTTGAGCATTTAATCAATAAGTACATATTAAGAATTCCATTTTTTTTTTTTTTTTTTAGCATTCTTAACTTGGAAGAGGTTGTTAGTATATCAGCCCCACTAAAATGTAAGCATTTTGGGATTAAGGGTTAGATCAAGGTCATAAATTGCCCTTGTAGGTAATGAACACTAAATCATATAGTCTAAGGTAGAAATATAGTTACAGTAAGTGTGCCACAGAAAAGCGGATATTCCAAGAAAAGTTGAATAAAGGACAGGAGATTTGTCATGCTGTTTCCTCTGCTCAGGTTGGGTTGGTTTGCTCTCCTCCCTTGACTAGTTAATTCCTCTTAGTCTGTTATCACAAGCATTGCTTCCTCAGGAAAATATCTTTGTCTATATTTATATAAAATATATATAGATAGATCTCTATAGAGCTATATAGAGAGAGTATGTATCACATCTGTGGTTTTACCACCTGTTTGTGACAATTTTTGGTAAAAATTTTCCCCATTATCTGAGTTCCACAGGACAGATTCTTTTTTTTTTTTTTTCCCTTCTAGCCAGTTCCAACAAGAAATAGTCTGTTTGGTATTATAGGGTTAATGCAGGTACTCTTGTCTTACTTTTCTTTTAGTAGCTTGCTAATCCTTTTCTTTTTAATTCAAACAAAGCAATAGTCACCAGCGGCTCATGCCTATGATCCTAGCTACTCAGAAGACTAAGGTCTGAGGATCACGGTTCAAAGCCAACCTGGGCAGAAAAATAGTGACCTCTTATCTTCAATTAACCAGAAGTGGAGCTATGGCTGAAGTGGTAGAATGCTAGCCTTGAGCACAAAAGCTCAGGCAGTACCCTGAGTTTAAGCCCCAGGACTAGCACTAAAGAGACCAAAACAAGAGGCATACTTTCATAATTTAAAACTAATAAAAGTACTCCAGTAGAATATAAAACAAATGAATTATTTTCTGGGTATATCGTATTTGAAATTCAGGATCCAAATCATCAAGAAAAAGGTTGTATGCTTAATATTATTGTCATAAACTAGAAATAAAAATTAAAGGAGAATGTTTAAAAGTTAGACTAAGAATTTTCTGTGAGGTTAACTCATCCGCCAAGTTGAAAGGTGGCTCTTGGGAAGGTCAGAAATCTCTAACTTCTTGAATAGATGTGTATACTGATTCTGTAAATCCATGAGTGTAAGTCCTCTCCATTGATTCATATGTAAGGAATATGTTGTTCTAGAAAGGTAAATAAATACTCAAATTGGGGGATTGAAGTGAGCGTGGATTTATTCTCTAGACAATCATGAATATAAGCCTGCAGTTAAGGACTTAGGCAATTATGTGGGGATTTCAACACAAAGGTGTAAAAAATGAGAAAATAGAGGTGTAAAAAATGAGAAAATAGGTTAACTTGCAAAAGGCACGAACACAAAGAAGAATGGAACTGAAAGCAAGCTAAGGGCCAAAACTTGTAGGACAAGATAAAGGGGAAAAAAGACCTTTGAAGAAAAACCAGGAAGTAACCAAGAAAGATGAGAGCAGAAGGTGGTGTAATGTTACAGAGGACACATTAAAAAGAAAGCTCTTCAGGCAAAGGTGATGATAGGTAGTAGCATCTAGTGCAGCAAAGAACAAATCTTGTTTCTCCCTTAACAGAGGAATATCTAAATATTTACAGAAATCAGATAATAGTTAACAAACTAATTCTTGTGGCAGCAATGAGTAGATAGGTTCCCGAATTCAGTGTCTAAATATTTTTATTAATAATCCATCATAATATTTTGGTATTGGTAGAGTTGAAATAAAATACACTTCAACTTGGCATTTAGTGTTAACAAAACAGCTGACGTTTACCAACCGTGACTCATGCTCATCTCTTTTTCAGGAATATAACCAGTTCTGTGTATTAGAAGAAGCAACCAAAGCAAGTGAAGTTTTAGAAAATTTGACCCAAGGCAAGATGTGCTTAGTTCCTGGTAAAACAAGAAAGTTGTTATTTAAATTTGTTGCAAAAACTGAAGATGTTGGAAAGAAAATTGAGGTTAGTTATGAAATTTGTTTAGAAGTATTTAAAACTACATAAGCAATATATATTTATGTCAAAAAATTTAACACACAAAATTATATTCAGTAAAAATGAGATCAGTCTTTTTCTTTTTTTTTTTTTTCAGACTTAAGTGACAAGAGCAGCAGAAACCACCCGAGTGCCAGGCACATTATATGCATTTATCATTCAATATACATACTGCTCTTTTTGTTGTTGTTGCTGTTTGTGGGGCTTGAACTCTGGGCCTGGGTGCTGTCCCTCAGCTCTTCAGCTCAAGGCTGGCTAGCGCTCTACCACTTGAGCCACAGCGCCACTTCTGGTTTTCTGAGTGGTTTATTGGAGATGAGAGTCTCATGAACTTTTCTTGCCAGGCTGACTTTGAACCGTGATCCTCAGATCTCAGCCTCCTGAGTAGCTAGGATTACAGGCATGAGCCATCAGCGCCCAGTGAGATCAGTCTTATGTCTCATTTTTAATGACTGAATAATCAGTTTTAAGTAGTGTTTGACTGTGCTTGAAAACAAAGACTAAATTCAATATTGAGTTTTTTGCTTATTCACTTTTTATAAATCCTTCATGGTTTTATTAAATCCCTAATAATTTTATTTTTCACCTGGTACCTAAGGAAGCTACCAGATATGTTATAATGAATAGTTTTAGTTTGAATCTTTTCATTAATGGATTTAGTTGAAAGAAACATTTGTGTTCAGCTAAGCACTGTAGCTCATACCTGTAATCCTAACTACTAAGGTGGCTAAAATCTGTTTGAAGTCATCCCAAGAGAAGAAAAGTCTGAAGAAGATTTCATCTTCTGTTAACCAACAAAGTGCTGGACTGGAGATGAGGTTCAGTGGTAGAACACTAGTTGTGAACAAAAACTGTGAACCAACTAGCTGTGAGCCAGAATAGGATATTTATTTCAGCATCCACAGATTGAGCATCTATATCTGAAGTACTGTTACATCATAACTATACTGTCCCATCTCTTAGATAGAAACCAAAGTTATGGTATGTGTTTTAAAGGTAAAGCAGTTGAAATCCGGGCTGGGAAGGTGGCTCAGTGGTAGAGTGCTTGCCTTGCATGAATGAGGCCCAGGATTTGATTCCTCAGCACCACATAAGCAGAAAAAGCCAGAAGGGGCGCTGTGGCTCAAGTGGTGGAGTGCTAGCCTTGAACTGAAGAGCTGAAGGATGGTGCGCAGGCCCAGAGTTCAGGTCCCACAACTGAACAACAACAAAAAGTTGAAATCATGAGCTGGTTTCCCAGCCAGATGAGACTCAACAAGTATTTTGGCCCTGTTACCATGGTGCCTAGGTAAACTTTATATATCTGCTGCTCTCAGTGTAATTTTGTTGATGGAGTGATGACAAGCAGGTATGAAATGGCATATTTAACCTACCTCCCTCTTTCAGATTACTTCTGTGGATCTGGTTCTGGGCAGTGAGACTGGTAGGTGTGTAGTTTTGAATTGGCAAGGAGGGGGAGGAGATGCTGCTTCCTCCCAGGAAGCACTGCTGGCTGCCCGATCTTTCAAAAGAAGACCTAAGCTTCCAGACAATGAGGTTCACTGGGACAGCATCATCATCCAGGCAAGCACCATGTAAGTTTACCCTGTAAAGCAGCTTGTTACACAGCATTCTCTTATTTCCTTTAAGTTATTTTTTGTTGTAAATAGGTTACTAAGCTAAGGTTTTTTTCAAAGGATAATTTCCAGAGTTCCAAACGTTTCTGTACATCTGCGACATGAACCTCCTGCTCTGATGAATGAAATGTATTCTTTGGTTGTGACTGTTCAGTCCCATGAAAAGACTCAAATCAGGGATGTGAAGCTCACTGCTGGTTTAAAGCCAGGTAAGTATGCATTGTTTTGTAAGTTTTTCAGTATTAATCTAACGAAGTAAATACCGCTGTGTCAACAATAGAATGTTTGTTTTAAAAGATAGTAATATACTGTATCTGGATGCCATAGGCTCTCTCACATCTTGTAATCCTAGCTATTTAGAAGGCTGACATCTGAAAATTGATGTTCGAAGCCAGCCCAGGCAGACAATTCTGAGAGACTGTTTCCTCTATCAATCAGAAAAAAAGCCAGTAATGGAGGTGTGTCTAAAGTGGTAGAGTACCAGCCTTGAGTAAAGAAGCCAAGGAAGAGCACAGGGCCTTAGGTTTGAGTGCCAGTACTGGCACTAAAATAAACAAACAGTTATGATACAGTGCTTGTTGTATAGATTACTGTGATAATGTCTGAATTCTCTATATCTTAAAACATCATTGTATTAATCCTCTTAGGACAGGATGCCAACTTAACCCAGAAAACTCATGTGACTCTTCATGGAACAGAACTATGTGATGAGTCCTACCCAGCTTTACTCACTGACATTCCTGTTGGAGACTTATATCCAGGAGAACAGGTGAACTTGGTCAACTGGGATTGTGGATGAAATTGCTCTCTAGTTTTATGTATTCAATGAGTTTTAGGCAGTTTCAGCACCTATAATCAGCATTTTCTAGGACTAAAAGAGTGATTTAACTAATGAACACTTTTCCCATATTTAAATGTGTAAAATATTTTAGAAGAGAGTTTTTGTGAGGTATTTTAGAACAAATAATTTTGATTTGAAGAACTAGTTGCTGATAAAGTAATTGTTGCCTATAATTTAGTGCAGTAACCTTCAATCTATTTCTGTTTCCAATCCAATTATGACAAAATTGTTGCGAGGTTAAGGGTGGTAGTGAAAGGAGTTGGAGTAGTTAGGATCCCATTGATGGCAGTGGCGGGTACAGGGTACAGGTTTTCCTTAGTTACAGTAGTTATTCTGAAAACTTGTGTAAATGTTAGTGAATTTAGCCAAGAAGTGCAGTGAACATGTATCAGGAGGAATTCTTTAATAGTAATTAAAATATGACACTTACTTTGTCACAGCTGGAGAAAACATTATATATTCGCTGTGGAACAGTGGGCTCAAGAATGTTTCTTGTATATGTTTCTTACCTGATCAATACAACTGTTGAAGAAAAAGAAATTGTTTGCAAGTGTCACAAGGTATTATTTTTTTTTTCTGTAACTACCTCATGAAGAATCTTTCTCATCTTCTTGGCAAGAGTGTTGTGTCAGCTTTCTCACTCCAGAAGAACAAACAGTCTAGAAATTTGGGGATTTGTAGTTTAGTTACTGTACAGATTCTGGGCAATGGGCTTTTTATTAAGTTATTAGGAGAGAAAAATTTGCCATAAAAGGTGATTAGTATTTCCCAGTTGTGAGAGGAAGGCATGTAATTACTGTCAAAGATTTCAGATAGCCTAGTAAAGTACTGAACGCAAATAGTCATTAGGATATAAATAAGGCTGACAGTCGCAGAAGTGGATGTGCATTGTCTCATTTAATCCTAACGACCCTCTGGGGATTATAGAAATGAAACTTAAAGCCACTCCTGTTATATGTGTGATGTCCTAAAGCTACATAGTTCTTTCCAGAGCCACATAGCTTATATAAACATGTAAGCATGTATCAGGCTAGGATGGATATCCACATCAATCTTGCATTTCAGTGTGAGTTTTTCTTATTTTTCCTTTTGCTAATATGAGGGCTTGAAGTCAGGCCTTGTGCTCTTGCTAGGCTTTTCACTCATGGCTGGTATTCTACCACTTGAGCCATGCCTCCATATCTGGCTTTTGATGATTAATCCTGACCAGGCTGGCTTCAAACTGTAATTCTCACATCTCAGTCTCCTGAGTAGCTACAATTATAATCAAGAGTCTGGTATCCAGCACAGCATGAACTTTTAACTAACACAACTATGTTTAAAAGTTTCCTACCTATATTGTAGGTTATTTGTTTTGAAAAGTATAATAACCATGTTGTTTTTTGAACAGAGTCTTAGGGAAGGAGCATATTGGTTAAGAATAGAGCTCCATCATCAGTTTGAGTAAAGTTTTTGCCTTTGTCACTTATGTGCTATCTGTGTGACCTCCTCATCTTAAAATATCAATCATAATAGCACCTATCTCCTTGGTGATTATGAGCATTAAATAATACAGACATAATTATCTTGAGTCAAGGTGAGGTAAATAACTTGAATGAAGGGAAGGCCTAGATTCTAGGCTTAGCACCATTTATGGCCTTAGGCAAGTCACTTTAGCCTTAACATCTGGCTCCTCTTGTGTAAATTGGTGACCATGCTGCTTGCCTTCTTCACTGAATCCTGAGGTAAATAAAGTAGAAGAAAGCACTTTATGGTGTGAGTTTTTATATAATCACAGACAACTTAGAAACAGTGGGCCTCTACAGACATGTTCACAAGAACACAACTCTTGCTTCTTAATATAGTTCAAATATAATTTGTTCATTAATTACGAATTATTCTTTGTATGTCTTCTACTTTCATATTTTTATTTATGCAAAAAGTTTAGAAAAGCTGGGCTGGGTAAGTAACTCAGTGGTAGTGCTTGCTTTGCATGCATGAGGCCCTGGGTTCAATTCCTCAGCACCACATAAGCAAAAAAGCCTGAAGTGGCGCTGTGGCTTAAGAGATAGACTGCTAGCCTTGAGCTGAAGAGCTGAGGGTCAGTGCTCAGGCCCAGAGTTCAGGCCCCACAACTGACCAAAAAAACAAAAAAAAGAAAAGCCATTTGAATATGCCCTTTGCATTTTCTTGCAGGATGAAACTGTAACTATAGAAACAGTCTTTCCATTTGATGTTGCAGTTAAGTTTGTTTCCACAAAGGTATGTAGTGCCTGTGATGCCTACTGGAAACATTGAGATGATAGAAATAGAAGGAAATAAAATGCCTTAATCACTCCTCTCATTGGTAACAGTTTGAGCACCTGGAAAGGGTCTATGCTGACATTCCCTTTCTGCTCATGACGGACCTCTTAAGTGCCTCACCCTGGGCCCTCACAGTTGTTTCCAGTGAGCTGAAGCTTGCTTCATCGATGACTTCAGTGGATCAGCTGGAGTCCCAACTGGACAAAGGTAAAACTGCATCACCCCCATCTAAGGTCTAGAAAGAGTGCTGGGGGAACAGTTATTAGCTTTTTACTTCATGAGGGACCTTGAGACATTCACAGAAGAAATAATACATGTGTTATTAGAGTTAATGTCATTTACCATTTGTTTGTGTTTACCTCTTTTTTTTTGGTCATGGGGCTTGAACTGTGGTCCTAGGTGCTGTCCCTGAGCTCTTCAGCTCAAGGCAAGCCCTCTACCACTTGAGCCACAGTGCCACTTCCTGTTTTCTGGTGGTTAATTGGAGGTAAGAGTCTCATGGACTTTCTGCCTGGGCTAGCTTTGAACTGCAATCCTCAGATCTCAGCCTCCTGAGCAGCTAGGATTACAGGTGTGAGCTTCCGGCACCCAGCTGTGTCTACCTTATTTTAAACCGTGAGATTTCTTACTCTGAGGACATTACACTGTAAAAATGATTTGAAAGTAAAATAGGAATTTTTTCATGTTTAAATTTTTTTTTTGGTGATTCTAGGGATTGAAATCAGGGCCTCCTGCTTATTTGGTGAACACTACTACTTGAGCCATCTCTCAGTCCTTTTGATTTTAGTTGTTTTTGATTGGCTTCCCAATCAGTCCGCAGGACTGTCATCTGACTCGCCTGCATGTCTTGAGTACATGAGATTGCAGGAGTATGTCACTGTGCCCAGCTTTGTTTGTAAGGTAGAGTCAGGTAACTTTTTGGCTGGTTAACCCAAACTAAAAATCCTTCCTTTCTCCTACCTTCCAAGTAGCATGTCCTACTACAGCTAATGTATGTTTGAATATTTTAATTTTTTCCTAATTTAAACCAAATATTGTTTATAATTTCAAATGAGATAAGATGTTTATTAAACTACAAATTAGAGAAAAGTAGAGGATAAATTTCTTAAATCACTAAAACAATTTATAGAACAAATTAAAACCCAAAACAACACATTTTTAATCCTATGTACTTTGGACTTATTTGTACTCTTGGTTCTAATGTTTGCTTCCTCAAAAAGCAACCCTGAATTGGTCATTTGTACTTTACGGACTTTCATAATATATGAATCCTTATCCAGTCAGGCACTGGCATACCTTCCCAGCATCTTCTGCAGAAGTCTGTACTTTATTCTTTTTTTTTGGGGGGGGTGGTCCAGTCGTGGGGCCTGAACTCTGGGCCTGGGCACTGTCCCTCAGCTCTTCAGCTCAAGGCTAGTGTTCTACCACTTGAGCTACAGCGCCACTTCCGGCTTTTTTCTTTTTGCATATGTGGTGCTGAGGAATCGAACCCAGGGCCTCATGCATGCAAGGCAAGCGCTCTACCACTGAGCCACCTTCCCAGCCCCCGTCTGTACTTTATTCTTATTCTCAGATTACAACTAGAACAACTTAAATTCTTACTAAACATTGTCCTCATAAGCCTTTGGATGTGTTATTGCTTGCTCAGAACCTTCACACTACTCTTGTCAGCCTGTTCGATTCTTACTTGCTCTTTTTGATTTCTTGATCTTCGCAAGCAGGGCTGTGTATTCTTCCTTCTTTACTCTTACAGTATTTTGCACATACATCTATAATAATAATTATTCCCTTATATTGCATTTGGTTATAAATCTGGCTCTGTAAATTGTGTATTCTTTTAGAGACAGGGCTGTATATGTACATTTCTGTATTGTAGCGTCATTTAATAAGGGTTTATATTAAATTAGAAATTATCTCTTGTTTGATCTGTGCTATATTAATATCCTGTTGCTGCCATAATAAGTAACCACAAGTTAGTTGCACAAATTTATTGCCTTTAGCTCTGGAGTATAGAAGTCCAAAAAGCTAGTGTTGATACAGACATGTGCATTCCTCTTAAGGGTCTAAGGGAGACTCTAGAAGCTACTTGCCCTTCTTGTCATGGCTCCATCTGTAGTATGTCTCTGTCACAGATTGATCTTGCTTAGAACTTAGGGAGGTAATTTGGTAATTTAATATGAATGGCCCAGGATTTTTTGTTTTGTTTTGTTTTGTTTTTAAGCTATCTCCAGGGCACTGAATTGATGTACCTTTTATAACTTTCTGGGCTACAATATAATTTCTTAGTTCTTAAAATCATGTAAAGGAATTTAAAAGCATGAGTTAAGCTAGCTTTTTTCCTTTTATCTGTGGATAATTGTCAGTCATAAGCAAAGATTGATTAATCCATCAGTCTTCTTCATTAGAAAACTAATTTTTAAAAAACCAATGTTGAGGAATGTTGTTATTACTTCAGAGTGGCAATCCCAGGTTTGCTAATACTGGAGTTAGATAGTAGGCGCCATTGCTCACTCACATTTCAAAGTGACATAGACTGTAAAATGCTGAAAGGTCAGGCAGACTTGATGTAGGTGGATGCTTAGCTTGTCATCAGGGAATTTACTTGAAAACTTACAAAAGGAAACCTTCCTTGCACAAAAAGGTCAGTGACCACACTAGACAATATTGAAGTATCAGTAGTATTTGTACTATTTATATACTATCAATAATAAATATTTACTTAGAGAAAGCCAGAATTTTTTAAAGAAACATTCTGAATACTTATGGTAATGAAAGATTTCTCTTTCTTTGTACCTAAAAGTCTTTCTTTGTAGAAGTAAAATAATTTAGAAAAAAAAATCACAAGGTATCATTCTGTCTCCATGCTCCCCATTCACTAACTTAGTAGATGTCTGTCACAGATATACAGATGCTACACTGGTTTCTATTAATATTAAATATTCCATGAATATTATGTAAATATTATTTTCTTAAAATATTTACTATATTTCAAGGCCACTGGCCTTTGTGATCTTGAAAAAGCATTCAGTATTAGCCTTAGTTTCTGAGTCCCTATAAATATTATTTAATTAATCTGGTACTTTGTTATACGATACGAATGTGAAACTCCTAGATGAAATCTTTGCATAAGATTATAAAGATTCTTTCTTGTAGTTGTCTTACAGACCGGAGAGAGTGCTAGTGAATGCTTTTGTCTTCGATGCCCATCTGTTGGAAATGTTGAAGGTGGAGTAGCAACTGGACATTACATTATCTCCTGGAAAAGGTAAAAATTCTATTAACTCTATCTCTTCTTTGTTGTTCTCATACCTTTATTATTATAATTTATCCTTCTGTAAGAGTAGAGTAAAAGACACATGAGTGAGTAATACGGTATTAAAAATACAAAGATTGAAATGAAAAATTCCACTTTTATTTGTGTTTATCACAATTTGTTACTTATGCGCTAATGAATTTTTAGTCAGACTAAATCTGAAGATAGGATTATTGGAAAACACCAGATGAAACTGTCCTCATTTGCAGCCACTAGAATTATTTCAGGGATGGGAAATATCCTGTTCACACAATATATGAAGCTTGAGCAATCATTTAGTATATACCAGGACAGGCATGTATGTTTCTTCTATGCTTCTTGTCAGCTGCCCAGGGCCATCTGCCTCTACTGATAATTTTGTATGGTCTGTAAATGATGTTAGATATCTGTATGGCCCTTGGCGGAAGAAAGGTTTCTACTACTGGTAGCAAACCTAGGAGAATTAAGAGTTTCAAGGGTTGGAGGCATGGCTCAGGTTGTAGAGAGCCAGCCAATGAGCTTAAGTATCAGATACCAGGCTCGAGTCCCAGTATCAGACAAAAAAAAGTTTCACTGTGGTTGCTGAATAAAATACGTATGTATACATTTCTCCATATCAAAAACCTCTACACAAGTATTTTAAATAGAATTATCATTTACATAGCAATCACAATTTCAGGACTATATGATGGAAGATTTTTGTTCTTTTATGGAGGAAAATACAAAACTTGAAAGCATTAAAAGGATACCTAAGTAAATGAGAGAGGTATACAATGGTTTTTTGTAAGATTTCAGCTTTTAAATTGTTGTATTGTTTCAAGGCAGTTGCATGCAAGGCAAGTACTCTACCACTGAGCCATCTTCCCAGCCCCTTAACAGTATTTTTTAAAAGTCATTGTGAACCATCCTCAGTGAAATTAAAAATTTGTGTCACAGTGTAAATCACTGCATACTTTTTTTTTGGGGGGGGGGTGGGATGGGTCCGGTCATGAGGACTGAACTCTGGGCCTGGGCGCTGTCCCTCAGCTCTTCAGCTCAAGGCTAGTGCTCTACCACTTGAGCCACAGTACCACTTCCGGCTTTTTTCTTTTTGCTTATGTGGTGCTGAGGAATCGGACCTAGGGCCTCATTCATGCAAGACTAGTGCTCTACCACTGAGCCACCTTCCCAGCCCCACTGCATTACTTTTGCATTGAGAAAGTCCAGAAAGTCCAAAACATTGGATGAAATGGTGTGCTTCATTATTGACAGTCTGACACAACTCCTGATTTACCCCACTGGTTACAAACATCAGCCATGAGTATCTCACTGGTAACAGACAGTAGCCATGAGTACTTATCCCACTGGTAGCAGATAGCAGCCATTTTTTTTTTAATTGTGAAGCAGCCATTTTTTTCCAAATGGAAATATTCAAAACAAAAATAGCATTCTATAAGCTTGTTCTTCCAGTACTTTCTATTAATTATGTTTTGGGAAATGGTAATTTATACTCCCTTTGAAATTAATACATGTTCCTGTATTTGATTTTTTTTAACTTTTGCATAAAATGTGGGTTTAAAATATGACCTCTTCTGCTGTAGGACTTCAGCCATGGAAAACATCCCTGTCATCAGTACTGTCATCACGCTGCCACATGTGATTGTAGAGAATGTTCCTCTCCATGTGAGCGCAGGTACCAGGAGTTCAGAAATCACTGACTTAAAAAAAGCATACAGTCATATTAACTTTGAAAATTTTTAGCTTTTTAGTATTAAAAATGTCTAGCATTTATAAAATTTGTACCTGTACATGTTTTTCCTGCTTTGATTATTTGAAACAAACCCCATGCCATTCAATTTGCCCCTTTGAGGGTCTCTATTTCTAAACATAATGTTAATGACTTCTTGAATTAGCAATGTATATATATTTTTAATTCTGGTCCTGGGGCTTGAACTCTGGGTGTGGCACTGTTCCTGAGCTCCTTTTTGCTCAAGGCTAATACTCTACCACCTGAGCCACAGGACCACTTCTTGCTCTTTCTGTGATTAATTGGAGATAAGAGTTTCAAAGACTTTCCTGGCCAACTGGCTTCAAACCATGATCCTCAGATCTCAGCCTCCTGAGTAGATAGCATTGCAGGTGTGAGCCACCAGTGCCTGGCTACAATAAATTCTTACTAACATCAGATTTCAGTGCTAAAAATTTCCTAATTGACTGAAGGTCTTTCTTACTGGCAGTTGATAGTAGGTATCAGTCTGTCCATCTAAATGTATAAGTAGTCTGATGGCTAACTTCTTGTTCCTATATCCAAGTCCTCTCCCTAATGAACCTCTGCCACTCTTCTTCCAGTACTACTTTCCATATTACCATCCATCTCCTGCCTCTACCATTTCCAGCTTTTCTTTTTTTTTTTTTTTTGAGTCTTGTGGATTTTTTCTTTTTTTTTATTGTGAAAATACTGTATAGAGGGGTTACAATTACATGGGCAAGATAATGAGTACATTTCTTATCAAGCATTGTTGCTCCTCCTTTGTTTCCCCTTCCCATCCCTTCCCATCTCTTCCTATCCTTCCCCCCCACCCAACCCCAGGCCCCATGACTGGACCCCCCCCCCAAAAAAAATTGTGAAGCATTCCCTATTTTTGTATCCTAGAAAAAAAAATAACCAAATTTCAGCCAAAGATATAAATAATATGTATATATAGATGAATAAAAGTTTTATAGTTTCACTAAAAACATAACTTTGGGTTGTTTTAGTTTAGGAATCAAGTTTTGGTATTTTTTGATTTTTTTAGATTATTTTAAATTACATTCAATTTCTTTTTTATATATACATTTGATTCTACCCAAAGTATTTCTTTATATATATATATATTTTTTTTTTTTTGTAAAGATACTGTAGAGCGGTTACAGTTACATGAGCAAGGTAATGAGCCCATTTCCTATTGAGCATTGTTACACCTTCCATTATTTTTCTTCTGATAGCCAGACCCTTTCTAAGTCAATTGTTTTTAGGAGACTTACTGTGTTTTATCATAATTCCATAACTATTGTCCAATTAAAGAATTTTCTTATCTGGAAAAAATAGAGTAATACCATAATTTGAATGTTATTGCATTCTATTGAATGAAATTATTTTACAAAAAGAACCCATAAATGATAAAAAGAACAAAAATGAAAAAGAAACGTGTCACCTTTTTCTATAGATCTACCGTCATTTGGGCGTGTCAGAGAATCATTACCTGTCAAGTATCACCTACAGAATAAGACCGACTTAGTTCAAGATGTGGAGATTTCCGTGGAACCCAGTGATGCCTTCATGTTCTCAGGTCTCAAACAGGTACAGGTCGTTTTTCATGATGTTGCTGGTGTAGACACAAATATATGGTCCAGAAATGGAGCTGGATTTTTTTAAAATAAATGTTGAGTTATTAAGTCACTTAATCAGTATTTGAATTGTTTTGTTACTGAAATTTATAAGCACTTTTGAAAAAAGTTCAGATTCCTACAAAGGTGGGTATCCCTTTTCAGATCATCTAAATCATTTAAGTTCTTTCTCTTAATAAAACAAAAGTTCATGGGTCACCTTGCTATATTGTAAAATAATATACCAGGCAAACTTAAATTTCTCCCTTGTTTACTGAAAATTCCTCCTTTATTTATTCTGTGTGCTGGGTAGGAGGGGTGCTAATTTGAGCCTAGAGACATGAGTATACCAATGTTAAAAGCCTGTTCTGAACTCTCGGTGAAGTTGTATAGAAATTTTCATCTTGTACAGAATTTACTTTGATATGTGTAGATAAAATTTCATATAAATGACTCCAAACTTTTCATTTGTTCAGTCAAATTAGATGGGTACATTTTTATCAGGTTTTAAAAAGAGTCAACATAACACTCAGGCAAAACAGATACTCCTTGAGTGATAGTACTTTCTATTAATAAAGGCCCAATTGTAATTATAGGAACAGACAATATGCAAGTGCCTGTTCTGACTAAAGAGTCAGCTTTGCTCTGTAGATTCTTAAATGCAAAAATATAATTATATATGAAGTATGCTTTAATATCCATGTATCATTAAATATTAAACATGTGTATATATAAATTATTTCTGATATGTCATATGCATTTATATGTATACACATATCTCAGTTACAAATGAATACACTTTGCTCAAACATCCTGATGTTTTCAGGTATTTATTTATAAATTGTTATGAAATATAACAATACTAAACCATACAATTTTCATTCTTTTAAAGTATTATTAAGATTCCAAACACCTTTATTCCTGAAGTTGATTGTATAAGCAAGTGGTAAAATCACTAAAAGAAAACAAACAGAAACAACTGGCTTGTGTTACCTTGACCCATCTATAGAGAGTCATGTTTGTGTGTGTGTACCTAGGGCTTAAACTCAGGACCTTGGTGCTATCCTTGCACTTTTTGCTCAAGACTAGTGCTCTACCACTTGAGCCACAGCTCGATTTCTGGCATTTTTCAAAATAAGAGTCTCAAATTTTCCTGGCTGGCTTTGAACTGTGACCTTAGATCTCAGCTCCCTGGGAAGCTATGATTACAGGTGCGAACCACCAGCCTCTGGCAAGAGTCATATTTTAATGAATTTCCTTAACGTCTTGGAAACATAATATCTACCTTACCTAAACCAAAATCGTAACCTGACTATTGCTGTCTACTTCAGTAGGTGTAGTTGCTTTTAGATCATGATAAAAACTGAGACATCATGATTCATATAGATAGAAGCTGAGAAATCATGCTATGTAAATTTGTTAATACATTCCTGTATGCCTTATCCTAGCCTCCAACTGATTTAGGCCTACATTTTAGAATCCTGGAAGGAAGAATAGAGGAAAAAGTGAATATTTCGTTGAAAATAGTTAGATATTTATCTTTTGTAAATAATTGAGCTAAATACATATGTATGTGTATAGATTTTACGTGTGTGTGTATATATATATATATATATATATATATGTATTGCAAGTATATGTGTTTAATTATTTTTCTCTAACCATTTATGATTAGATTCGATTACGCATTCTACCTGGCACCGAACAGGAAATGTTATACAATTTCTATCCTCTAATGGCAGGATATCAGCAACTACCGTATCTCAACATCAACCTACTTAGATTTCCTAACTTCACAAATCAACTGCTCAAACGTTTTATACCTACCAGTATTTTTGTAAAGGTATGGCTCAAATTTTCTGGTCTTTAAAAGTCATTGTCTTAAAAGCAGACTTTTTTTTATGTAAACCTCACTGAATAGTTTGTGACAGTGATAGTTTTGTCTTTTATTATCTGAATTTTGAAAATTACCATTCATTGCTATAGTAGCATTTATATAAGCTAAAGCCAAAATCCAAGATTTTTATCCCCTTAGATAATTGATTTATTCCTTAAGTATCCTTGAATATGCTCTTTCTGTGGCTTAGTTAAGTATGTTTAAATGCTATAGTTTGTAACTAGTTTTTATCAAATATATTAACTTTCTAAATATGCCTTGACCTCCCTAATTCTTTATAATTCTTTTTTTTTTTTTTTTCTGTTTTTGGTCGGTTGTGGGGCTTGAACTCTGGGCCTGGGTACTGTCCCTGTGCTCTTCAGCTCAAGGCAAGCGCTCTACTACTTGAGCTATAGCGCCACTTCCCATTTTCTGGTGGTTAATTGGAGATAAATGTCTCACAGGCTTTCCTGCCTGGGATGACTTTGAACCATGATCCTCAGATCTCAGCCTCCAGAGTAGCTAGGATTATAGGTGTGAGCCACTGACACCTGGCTCTATAATTCTTTTAATACCTACATTTGAGTCTCTTCTGAGACTCTCTTCTGAGTACCTACATGTGAGTTGAAAAATTTCTGTCAGAAACTGTACAGTGATAAATGTATCAGTCTTAAGGAATGATTCAGTTTCTAGAATACCTATGATGATCATTTGATCATACTCAGCATATAAGAGAAGGACAAGTACTTGGCTCAGTTTCCCCCTTTGACTTGGTCACTCCCAGATACTTAGAAGGCTGTTCTTCCAGACAGTTCTGTCCTTCATATTGCTATTGTATTACTACATTATATTAACCATTATATTACTACATCTGTGACTCTTGGGTGCCCTCTTACACATTTATACCCTCCTTTGGAATGATATTACTCACTACTTGCTTTTTTGTTCTGCCTCACTCAAGTTTTGGAGGGTTTTTCCTTGTTCAGGATTTAGTGTATTATAAATTTGTCTGTATCAATGACCCCAAACTCTTCTTGCCTTTATCTTTGTAGGCTTACTCACACAGCTTCTTTTGCATCTAGAAAACATTTCATTAAACATACTTAAGGTTTGAAATTTAAAAGAGCCTTGAGCAAAGAGAGAAAGAATAAAGCATCAGTTAGGCAGGAGTGATAACTAGCTTCCATTTCTCATGCTATGGTGATAAATTGGCAGGAGATTCTTGAGCATAAGACAGAGAGGGAAGTTTTAGCTGAAGTGGATTCAGTAGGTCAAGTATATGGTCAGCTGGAGATGTCTGCCATTGGTACTAGGGTAGCGGAACCGCATAGTACCAGACTATGCAGTAACCACCAGGTTTAGGTAAAGAAACAGTAAAAGAGGGAGGACAATTAGATATTTATGCACATTTATTCTGCTTTTGTAAAATTGCTCCAAGAATTCACACATCCTTTCAATTAACAGAGCTTACCATTACTCCTTTGTAATCTCATTTTGTTTTTTCCACTGTGAAGCCACAGGGTCGACTCATGGATGATGCCTCTATTGCTGCAGCGTGATGATCAAGACCAGAAGACTTGTTCTTACAGAGGACTCAGGCAGAGCTAACACAGGTGTCTTACAATGACCTGTAGCTTGGATCATGGTAAAAAAAAAAATCATCTTTTCTATTTTTTAATGGATGTCATATCAACTATTCAGAGGAATTATTGCTGAAAATATTAGGAAAATCACCCTGTCTTATAGTTTTACTAATAAAAATTTGAAATCTTTGTCAGTGTGATGTGAAAGGGTGTCAGACAATTGTTACTGTGGAAAGTCATTTTATGAACAGTAAATTCTTAATGTAAAGTAAGTGATTTGTCTGTGCAATATCAGTGGTAAGATAGGCATCCTAAATATGACCAGACAGAGAAGAGAGTACATGCAGTCTCTGTACCAGGAAAGTATTGAATCCCTGGTGAGTGTCCTAAGAGTTGGCCAGTCTAAAGAGAACCCATCCTAATTGCCTCTCATGATCAGAGAGCAGTGTATACTGCTGTGTGACTGACATAGGAAATCTCCAGACAGTTTTAATGAAAGCAGTTTAAAAGACGTCAAAATGTTTTTATTGATCAAAAAGTGTGAGAGAGCTGTTGTAAGCGGCTCATCGAGAGTTGAACTTCATTGTAGCCTTGTTGGGTTTATGGAAAAGGAAGAAAGCCACAGGACTGCTCATTCACTCTTGGGAAGATCTTGTTGATTCTGCACAAGCAAAAATGACCAGTCCACCCTCAGTCGACCGAATGCTGTGTGACAGCCCTTCTCCACAGCAGGGGTGGAACGCTCTTGTTTCTCCGCAGAGTTCACAGATGCATTGCAGTTTTGGAATCAGCATATAGATTCCAAGTCCTGTTTGTATATAACCTTATTCTTTGACTTTTGAAAAGTTAATTTTTATTTCTATATTTAAAGTTCTTGTATTAGTCAGTGATTCATGTTCAGCATTATTTGAACCATTTGCTATTACAGAAAGAAAAATACTTAATTTGTATTTAATAAAACTGGTGTAGGAAAAAAAAAGTTTGAGAGAGGGTATCATTTATGAAGTAGGTTCTTCTTTCTGAAAGAATCTGAACTGCAAAGGCCTGATAATAGCAGCATGAGTCCTAAACTTCCTGACAGTGACTCAGGTCTGAATAACAGCTTTTTAGTTCCATGGAGTGGTTTCAAAAGAACTATTTGGAATTCTTGAAATTAATGTAAATAAAAAAGTTAGAGTATTATTTTCTTTGTTAAAATATCTGAGTAAGTTTTAACTACCTAATTTCTTAGAAAATTTTATTATTTAAAAAGTGTATTGTAAAAAGGAAATAGTAAATAAATATGTTCTCTCAACTACACTTGTATATATTCCTTTATTTTAAACTTGTTTTATTTCAGCTTCATTAAACAACTTCGACTAAGTGGTTCATGAGGTGGAGTAGAAAGGCAGGATTGGGACCTGGGTATCATATTCTAGGGCTGGCTGTCCACCTTTCCTAAGACTTGGACACTGGAATGGGCTTTCATGGGAGGACATGCTTCTTTAAGTAGAGGCCATTGGAGAGTGAGTGAGAGTCAGCTCATTGGGATCAAATCCCAGCTCTGAAGCTTTCTGTTTAGATTACTGTTACTTAGCCCCTGTGTGTCTGGCTTTTCTCTAGGGTGCTGTAGATTGATACCCAAAGAGTATTGGATATTAATACCAATAATGGGCAGCCCCTGACCTAAAGTTTGTCCTCAACTGGTGACATCTGTTATCTCTTTTCATGAGAAGGCTGAACAGGACTTTATGCAGCTCCTAGACAACTCCATATTATCAGAATTTGTTACATATATTACACAATCTAGTACACATGTGAGGGTATACATATATCCAAACAAGTATGCTTATATAAGTATGTAAAACTATAGACAGGAGTTTCAAGAGATAATACTTGTAACTGTATCCCATTTATATACTACTGTGTTTTAAAAACTCCCTCATTGTAACCTGCTGAACCAGTTGCATGACTGACACATTAATGGGATGTAACCTATTTAAAAGTACTTTAGAGCTTCTGCATGGTAAAGGACATAGCTAGCAAGATAATAGAAAGCCCACGGACTGGGAGAAGATCTTCACTAGCCACACAACGGACAAGGATCTCATATCTAAAATATACCTGGAACTCAAAAAATTAAATCCTCCAACAACAAATCCTCAAAGAAACAACTGCCCAATAAATAAGTGGGCTAAAGAGAAACTTAAAGAAACTTCTCTGAAGAGGAAAGAAGAATGGCAGATAGACACATGAAGAAATGCTCAACCTCTTTAGCCATAAAGGAAATGCAAATCAAAACAACATTGAGATTCCACCTCACCCCAGTTAGACAATGACTATAATCAAGAACTCTAATAACAACAGAGGCTGGAGGGGATGTGGCCAGAAGGGAACCTTACTACATTGTTGGTGGGAGTGTAAACTTGTTCAACCACTTTGGAAAGTAGTATGGAGGTTCCTCAAAAGACTCCACATAGAGCTCCCCTATGACCCAGCAATCCCACTTTAGGGCATTTACCCAATTGATCACAAACAAGACCATACTAAAGCTACCATACAACTATGTTTATTGCAGCATTATTTACCATGGCTAAGATATGGAGCCAATCCAGTTGCCCCTCAGCAGATGAATGGATCAAGAAAATGTGGTATATATACGCAATGGAATTCTGTGCCTCCATCAGAAAGAATGACATTGCCCTATAATATTCAGTTAAGTAAGCCAGGCCCAAAGAAACATAGGTCCCATGGTTTCCCCTATTTACAATAACTAGTATATGTCTGAGACAAGCAGAAAAGGTCAGATAAGATGATGTTAAGCGAAATGTCCAAGATAAGGACTCAAGTGGTTTTTTTTCTTTCTTGCTATTTTTTCTAATGTATTTATAATGTACCATGTCATTTTTTTTGTTGCTTTGTATGTTCCTCCCCCATGGTATAACCCCTGTTTTCACTATATTTGATGTTGGTATAATTTGGAGAGGGGAGGGGAAAAACAAAATGTTTAAATAGGGATACAGGTCGACCTATTGCAACAATGAGATGTAGGAGACTTATGTCAAAAAATGAACTTTACAATTTAGGGAGCAGGGGAGTGTAGTTGTGGCGGTGGAAGGGAAGGGAGGGTAGGGGAAAAACAAAGGAGGCAACAATGCTTGATAAGAAATGTATTCATTACCTTGCTCATGTAACTGTAAAACCCCCCCCATACAGTATTTTCACAATTAAAAAAATTCTAAAAAAAATCAGAACTCTCACAGTGGCATAGGAAGTGTTGTGTTGGCTTACTCAGAGTGTGTCAAGAAGAACCTGCCTTTGTCCCTATGTCTTTATGTCATTAGCCATGATTTCCATCTCTGATGAGAGTACCCACCTCTATCTCTACCACTCCACCACCTGCTTCTCAGCATTGCTTCTCCTCCAGCCAGTCACCATTCAGGACTAAGTAAAGTTTTAAGTAATGCATTATAAATTGTAGGATTTGTGTAATAGCTTCTCTCTCATCCATACCATAAGTTCTAGTGAGTAATCCAAAGAGGAAAAGGAGAATACCTTTGGGAGGGTAAAAAATCCCTAGCTGGATGTCGGCTCATGCCTGTAATCCTAGCTACTCAGGAGGCTGAGATCTGAGGATCACAGTTCAAAAACAGCTCAGGCAGGAAAGTTCATGAGACTCTTTATCTCCAATAAAAGCACCAGAAAACCAGAAGTGGTGCTGTGGCTCAAGTGGTGGAGTACAAGGCTTGAGCTGAGGAACAGTATCCAGGCCTAGAGTTCAAGCCCCACAACCAACAATAAAAAGAATTCCTAATTTAGTTAGTTTTATATTCTAAGAATAATATTAACTATTACACTTAGTTTTTTAAAAAAAAGTCTTGGAAAGGTCATTTTAATGCAGTCATTTCTTTGACAGTCATATTCTCTCCACTCAGAATCTGAAGTCTTCCAGTAGTCAATCGCTGTTTAAGCTGTGAGCTGTAGCTATCATTCACATTCCATTGGAGCAGCAAAGGGAAAATGTAGTTTACGCTTTCAGAGGGAGGGGCCGCATAATCCCAGCAGATACCTTTCTTACATTCCTTCCCCTCTTGACTTCACAATCCAGAAAAGGTACCTGAAGAGTCTCAAGTCCTAGTTTAGCAGTGAGTTGTGTTATGTAATGGTAGTGACTAATTTTCAACAGATGTGTGACATCAGTGGGTAGAGATGATTAAGAATGTACACTTCATCTTGTTCCCTTTAAGCTATCTGGATTCAACCTGCAGGGCTAAATCCTCTGCAGCTGAAGCACAGCAAATGACTGCTAAATAAAATACACACAAACTACAGCCACCATCCTAATGTAAGATCCGGGAAATAAATTCATGCTGTATTTTATTTTCCCATTGTTCACAACTTAAAGTTTTTATCACACACTCTGTGTGTGTGTGTGAGAGAGAGAGAGAGAGAAAGAAGATTGAATCAAGGACTTAATGCATGCTAGCAAGCCCTTTGCCTCTTGAACCACATACACTCAATCCTTAAACACTTTTTTAAAACATTCTTAAAGAAGTGATACTCTACCAGGCATGGTGGTATATACCTGTAGTCCCAGCATTTGGGAGGCTGAGGCAGGAGACCCTGTCTCAAAAAAATAATAATACTATTTAGGTAGCTCTATGACCATCTCGCCATTTTTTTTTTTGTTTAGCAAATTCATTTTCAGACATACCTACTAAAGTGCTCTACAAAATTCACTAAATGAGTACAATATCCCAAGTTTTCATGGAAACAAATCTATAGTTATATTCCAGTTCCCTTCAGAGATCAAATTTGTGAGAAACGTTTTCTTCTACGCAATTTACTTATGCCCAATAACAAAAGTAAAGCAAGTAATCACAAGGCCTTATTGTTTCTGCTTTCTGAAGCATGTTTTCCCCAGGCGATTAGAAGCAGAGTCAAAACTGCTGTGTGGACCTGCATTTCAGGGTCTATGTACCATGCAAATTATACCCTGAGCAGTTTTTTTATTCTCCTTTCTTCCCAACCATTGCAAGAATGTATGCAAAGCAGCAAATTTAAACTCGATCCTTTGGTTTATAGAACACATACTTAAAATATCCCAGCATGCATGGCAAGTGGGAATTAAGCTTATCTTTGTTAGGTTGATTGAAATTTCTAAATCAATCTTTCCAAAATGATAATTGCTATCATTTATTGACTGGTGCAGTGTACAAAGACACATACTTTTTTTTGCTCATTTAATACTTGTAAAAACCCCCAGGAATAAGGCAGTCACACCTATTTGGAATATGTGGAAACAAGAATACCATGCCTATTTATTGCCACAAAAGAAATTATCTAATAATTAGACTTAAAACAATTCTCTCTCATGAGTTTCAGGACTAGCATCTGGGAAGGATGGAGCTGGGCAGTTTGGGCTTCGTTATGGGTGCACTTGTAGCCAGCTCTACCAGAAACTGGAGTTAGGATTGTGAGAATCTTCTGGGCTGGTGCAGCTTAGGCCAGCCAGCACCACTTCACTTAAACTTACGAGAATTCCATGTGAGTCTTGGGCTTCCTCACAGCATGGCAGTCTCTGGGTAGTTGGATAGTTTACATGGCCGCATAGAGCTCCAGTGAGAACAGAATCTGCAAGGAGAAAGCTGCTTTGCTTTTTTGACCTTTACTCAACTATCACAGGATGTCACTATATGATCACAAGTCCACTCAGGTTCAAGTTGGGAAAACAAGCTGTAAGCTCCTCAGCCTCGACATGGGAAGATAGTATATACACCTTTGCTATGTCCAATGACAGGCAGCAAATTCTGAATGCTGAGTGAGGCTAATGGAATGGAGTGCTTCCTGCACAGTACTCCTAATGCTTCAGTACCCATGCTAAACAAGAAACTGGTTAAATACTTGTTGGTTGAGGTACAAGGCATTCTACAAACTAAGATCTGTTTGTAGGCTAATGGCAGTAAATGTTTCTTTAATTTTGTGTTGATTCCAAGTGTATATATGGGTCTCTTGTAGACCAGCTTATGTATTGGTTGCTAATACCAAAAGGAATCTATTCCCAAAGACCAGTGTCTAGTAGGAGAAGCTGCCATGTAACCAAATGATAGCATTGTATGGCTGCAAGACCGTTGGACTAATGGGAGGCCTGGGATTTACTTTAAAACACTCCAAAAAACAAGAGCTGTAAACAAGGTGGGATGGAGGGAGGGTGGATGAATGAAGATTTGGAAAATGTTGATAATATTAAGGATTCTTCATGGGTACCTGGAGGCTAATTATGTTATTCCCTCTCCTTTGAATGTGTTTTAAATTTTCTG